TGCCCTCCTCCGCAACGTCGGCGGTGGCCCTGGCATCCTCTGCCTCCGGGGTGGCCCAGCGGTGGCCACAGGAGCAGCATCAGCTGGCCTTCGGCTCGGCAGCACGCCTCAGGTCCGGCGTGGCGATGGCAGCAGCGCAGAAGGTGTTCCAGGGAGGGAGGGGAGGGAGCCCAGGGTGTCTCTGACACGTGGATATCCTGGTGTTGCCTGTAGAGTCATGGGAACACCATTCAAGGTTTCCCTTGCTAGCATTAGCAATACAACTAATTGCGTGTGTGTGTGTGTGTGTGTGTGTGTGTGTGTATTTAGACCCACAGCCAAAAAGATCAGGCACTTTTGAGCTAAATAAATGCAGTGAGTTTTTGATCATTCAGGTTGGTTGAACATAGCTAATAAGGTTAACTGGTCCTCATTTTATGTGCTTTTTGCTATATATATGAAATTTGAAGACTTGTGTGTTACAGGGTGCATCCAGTTAATGGAAATAAAAATCTCTCACATAACTTGGTTCCTTTTCAATATTGATATATAAACTAATGCAATCTATATTTAAAGGACTGAAGAAAAACTAGTACCTCACTTCTTAAAGGCATAAGCAAGAGGGATACAAGTGTACAAGTACTACAACTTTGTCTTATCAAGGTGTCAGAAATGTACTATTGCCATGAAGTTATTTTTTCCTCTGTAGTTACACAATTTGTAGTTGCCTATAAAACATCTGTGTAAATCAAATGCTCTAAAAAATAAATATTTCTGTCAAAATTACAGGAATAGCCTCAAGCAAAAGAACTGAGGAGCAAAACCTCAGTTCTACTTTGATCCCAGGTGTTGCTCATACCAGATTAGCCAGCTTGTAGGCAGAACTGTTTATCCATCTTATATAGTTTCCAAAATGTAATACAGATAACATTAGAGAAGTGGCTAAACACATTTGTGTAGTTGCAGAAGACCAGACATGTTTTTGTCTGAAGCTATAGACAAATTGTAGCTATAATTTCTATTGCAAATTACTGATTTATAAATCAAATGGAACAGAGGTGTGGGATCCAAGTCTAACCTATAGCAGGGGGAGAGAATTAAGCTCCTCTTATCCTCATCATCTGGATCAGACCCCCTGTACCTCCTCTAAAGGAAATGGGAAAAACAGGCCCAGTTCCTGGCTAGGCGTTTAAAGTAATGTCTGTTTGATTCTTAGGTAACATTCCCAGCATGAGTTTGACATCATTTCTTGAGTCTTAACTTACATTGCCATTTTCCCCTAAACACTACATAAACTGCAAATAGAATTTACAAAGAAAGCAACACCAAATGAAATATATCCAAGCTACCATACAACTGAAAGGAAAAGTTGCTGCACATATCTTTGAACAAAACATTTATTTCTCTCCTGCTGGATTTGCAGAAAGACAAAAATAAACTGAAATGAAATCTGACAAATCCATAACACCATAACATTGTGCTGCTTTGATGCTGCCAGAAGTAATACAATCTTGTCCAGTCACCCACTAACACTCACATTTTTGTGCAAGCAAAACTGGTTGTCCTGAAGTAATAAAAACATTAAGAACTATTGACTTTGAAAATGGAGGAGCCTACTCCCTTTCATTTGGCAGGAAAACAACCCTCTGGGCTGGCCCAAAAAGTATTTCCATGAGAAACAAGTTGCCCTAAAACCTAGGAGGAAAATGAAGCTGTAACAAAAGCAGCAGTCACAAACTAAAGCATGTTCCCCAAGTAAAGAGTCCTGACCCATATCAGGTAGAACAAGCAACTAATTTTATTGTACTTAATCTGCAAAACCTCTAATTAAAACACTTTAGAGTTAGCCAATGTGTAAGTTTACACTGGTTCTGATTCAGCAAATGGTTTTTGTGGTTTCTCCAATTCAGTTTTCCTTTTGCCAGTTAAAACAATCTCCTGCATAGTCATAATAGTGACTGCAAGTTTTCAATGAATACAATAAATGCCCTACACAATCTGCATCCTCCCTTTCCACTCAAACATAAACAGTGTGCTAAAAATAATCTAGCAGTTTTCTCCAACTTATATTTTGTTCTAGATTGACGTTGTGGCAATCCCCTAACATTATTAAAATAGGAGTCTATCTGTGGATATCTGGAGAAAAAACAATGCCTATTCCTATTTTTTACCTCCTTAACAAGACTTAGTTACCTTCTAATATCCACTGAAATGTTTTAATGTGTGCTCCATGTTACTTTTTCCAGCTGAAAGGCCATAAGGAAACACTGGAGAACCTCCAGCTCAAAGGCCAAGTGCAGACCCCAACACTTCTCAGTGAGGACCTCTAGACTCTGCCCAGGCCACACCCTCTCACCAATCCTCACCAGTTCTACACTATACTAACTAAAAAGCTGATGGAGAAAAATTTGCACTCCATTGGAAAGAAGGATTTCCAGATTAAAATGTCTTATTTTCCTATAGCGTGCAGAACAAAAATGAAGGTAATGTCCATAATTACAGACACTTATGACTTTAGCCACACTAGGTACATTTTGGCTGAGATGAGGCCTTCAACAGGAAAAATAGGTTCGCCATCCTACTACAGAACTATGGGCAGTACCTATTAACCCTCCTAGCAACACAATGACTTCCATCAGTGGAAAGGAACCATTCCCTCCTTTAGCCCCTCAAGTATCCTTAAAGACTGCTCTTGAGGATTAAGGGACCTACCAGAGCTGTTTGAGAAACTGAGGGCAGCAGGGGAGAGGCAGGGAGGGAAAGTTCCACAGCAGAAGGGGTAGCTGCTCATACTTTTGTACCCAGAATACTGTTCATTTTTTAATGCTGTTGCATTTCTCAATTTTCTTTCAAACACAGATCCATTTACAGGTGACATGTTTTCACAAGCATTGGTTGTAGCAGATACAGTCATTTTTGTTAATACCACAAGCTCCATAAACCTCATGGTAAAAAAAAAGGGGGGGATATTTTATGTCTCTATGTAAAGTGCCTCAGTTTTTAACATCTACAACACCTGTAGCATCATTTATCAGGTTATTTTTAAATAGCACTCAGCAAGGACCCATAAGAAATCTGTAGCATTATTCCCATAATGGCGTGGGGAGCTGAATTTCAAAGGTAAAAGCCAATTGCTTTGAAATGTGGCTATCTAAGCAGCAATGTACCAACTCTGATGAGAATAATTCTACATGGTCCTTGAAAAGTTTAGAAAATACTGGTCTACAATATACATGTAGGTTTAAAAATAGCATGTCAAGTTTCCTCTGTCAAAGTAGAAGCCATTCAAACAGTTTCTTTCCTAAAGTTGTTAGGATGGTAAGAGGAATGCCTTCTTCCATAGCTCAAACAGGGAATCTGCAGCTCTGTGTGCAACTGCCCTGTGTGGTGAGCTATGAGAACTGCAGACAGCAACAACTTCATTCTAGGGCACTGAAAGATGCGCATATTCTGGACTCACCCCCATCCAAGTTTGTCAGTGGGTCCTCCTGCACAGGAAGGGCTGTGGAAGGCTTCCTCTTTGGGCTGGGACGCTGCCCAAGTAAAAACTGTCTTCCTGGCTGTGGTGCACTCCTGTGTTCTTTGGCTCTGACTCCTGGCATGGTTCCTCAACTCTGACTCCCTGGCCAACTCCTAGCTCCCCTATGACAGCTGCATACAGCTCAGCCCTGACAACATGGACTATACCCAAATGAATTTTAGTTTATTTAGTTCTCATGTGGAGCACAAATTAAAATTAAATGGAAAAATATTATGTATCATTGTTGGTTTAAGTCTTCCTTGGTACACCTTTATAAAATTATGAAATACATACATCAGCCAATGAAAAGCAGTGAGACTTTCCAAGCAAAACTGCAGGACTTTCCTGAAAGTGGTAAACTTATTACTCATTTCCAAAAATGGTGGGGGAAGGGAAGAGGAATTATTTCTTTCCTCTACCAAATCTCAGTAGGCTAATACTGTCAGTAGCTTCTTTCAGAATTGGCTTAAACTGTTTGTCATGTTCAGTAAAATGTCGGGAGAGCACCACCACCCCTCCCTCCCAAAAAAAGAAAGAACAAAAAAAAAATATTAGTAAATCAAGGTAAAGTCAATACAATTTCGGTCTCACCATTGCAGTCTCTAAAACCAAGACATCCTCTTGGCTATATGATTACATGAGATGAGTCTAGAGGCTGTGTCTGGAAGGAAGGAGGTAGCAACGAGCACCTGCTCATGGCTGGACTTGTATCCAACTCAGAACCCAGAGATCCCTCCTTGATATAAGTATTTAACATCTTATATGAATACAGGTGTAGACAGAGCTCAACACAATTTGCAGCAAGGATGCCACCCAAAGCTTGGAGTTGAACTACATAGGATTGCCTCTTTGTTCCTTTAAATTGCCCCACCTTATCAAGATGGAGGCAAGTCTGACTTAAAAAGAGGTACAGGCACAAGAGATGCTGAAGACTGTTCTCAATCATTGCTTTTCCATATCCTCTAATGATTTATCTTCCATTTTTACACCAATACTAGAAGTGAACCAACTTGAAGAAAACTTAGGGTCAGGCAGGGAAAGGAATAGTGGGAATGTAGTTAGATCTCGTATCTGGAGGTATCTTGTAGAAAACTAGTAAAGGACCTACAGATTTTTTGTAAGTTTCATCAAGTGTATTTTTGGAAAGATGTGCAGAATATTGATTAAATAAGGTATGTTGAAAGTAGAGTAAAAGAAAAATGCCTTCTCAATGGCCATCTTCACTGCCCCTTAGAGATGCATTCTACTTTTAAATGTATTTTGGAACTTCTGCAAGACCACCAGATTTGGACTAGCTTTCAATTACTAGGAAATACTTTATAGTGAAAGAGTACATTAAGAGACCACAGAAATCTTAGTTACCGAAAGCATTAGACAGGGAGAGTTAAAATACTGGAGAGTCCTTCAGACCTCTGTGAAAGAGCAAGGTAATATTCAGATAACTGCATGGAAGGGACATATTAAACAATAAAGATGTCAAAGTTGCGTTGGTGCTATTTACCTTGAGAGTACTTCAGTGAGTTTTACAAAGCCAGCATATGCTAGTTCAAATGCCCCTCTGTGCCTGGACTTCAGAAGATGATGCCTAAAATACTGCCCAATATCTTTCACCTACGAAAGAAAAACCGAAAGCATTTGAGAATCAAATTTTGAATGCACACCAATGATAAAAAACAAATAGTGAATTGTCTAAACTGACATACAACTATCCTGCAGGGAAAGAATTAAAAGGTTGCTGTTATTCTCATCAAGCTATTTTAAGAGATGTCAAAGTGTGAGAAATTTTACAGTGGAATTATCTCAGTTACGATCCACAAGGAGTTACTTAAATTAATATTAAAGAGATCACTCATAATGTCCAAATTTTAAGAGTTACGGTATGGTGATAGTATGCTGCGACCAGGTATTTTGGTAATGGTCCAAAGCCTCAAAAGGGCCAGCACAAATGTTCATGTGAATCCTACTGGCATCTATGGGGCTCTGCTCTAGAGTTTATTCATGGAAGACAACTATATGTGCAAACATTTTCCTGAGCAAGCAAGCCACTTCTGGAGAAGTCTATACACACAATTGTCTTGTATGAATAAATTTGAGAAGTGAGTCCCATGGATTTCAAGGGGACGCAGATATATGTAATGAGGTAAGCACCTTTGTCCAAATATGCAGTAATGGATCACAACCAATTTTTCTGAAAAGTCTAGGATTTGTTTTCTTGAAGCAGTAATTGATCAGAGAGTGATAAATTAGGTTATGGGAGCAAAAATAATCAACAAATAGAGTGCTAAGTGAGAAATTTCAAAAACATTGCTACTAACCAAAAAAACAATGTTAATAGCTATGTTTTCCTACAAAGCTCGTGGCACTGGCATCAAAAGGTAAGCACAACTCTCTGAAACCAATTCCTGTTTGACTTGGAAAAGAGCGAAGAATTTAATGGTGGCAGCATATTGCTGGTCACTTCTCTGTTCTCCCAGAGCTTTGCAAGAGTACAACCACAGCTGTCCACCAGATGAAAACATCTGCTTGAGACAATATGAAAATAAAAATATTTGCATTTTTTCCATGGCTTTGCACACAGGACAGCATTTGTTGATCACCAGACACTTTAAAGTAGAGTTTCAGTCTAAAGTTGTACAACACTTCTGCAAAAGTAGATTTTTTTTTCCTGAACTCTCCCTGTCTCCACATTCTCAAAAAAGACTGAAAGGAAAAAAAAAATGCTTGCTGTGTATTTTAGTCTCTCAGGCTGGAAACTGGTTGGGTTGAAACCATATGGAAAAGGGAAAAGGTCATCAATTAAAAACAGAAATCTAATAAATCCAAAATATTTCCAAATGAAATACTTGTGGTAAGCTAATTTCTTGTAAACACTGCAATCCGTTCTCTTGAACAGTCCCAGATGGTGTGCTAGCCTTTGTGGGCTTAAAAAAATGGAGGGGGGCTTTAAAACAAGCAGCCCCAAATGAGTATAATTCTGTCATCCAGCATGTGGGGAACATGATATCCTCAATCAGTCAATCAATCAATCAATCCATGTGTTTGCTGTCCAAAATTATGGACCATAAAAGCTTTACCAAAATGGCAATTTCTTCAGATCTCACCTTGCTGTCTGCCAAATGAAAAACATGTAAGTGGAAGTGAAGCTGAAGTCAGTAAGTGAATTCTAAATGTTTAACAGCTATACATATAGCCACCCTCCATTAACTGAAAGACTGCCCATGTGTGCATGTCTTGAATACCAATTACAGTTTACATACAAAACCACTTTAAAAATGGTTCTTCTAAGAGAATATCTTGTCTGGTAACATGACAAATAGTAATTAAGATGAAACATTCACAATCTGTACTACAGCAGTACGGTTAATTCAATACTGCACTCTTCGTGTAAATAGTCATGGACTGTCCATGAACATTTTCTCTCATAAAACAAACCTTCGGAGTACTTATGAGAAGTAACCAAATAACAGAGAAGTGAACTAGTAAGACAATTCCAAATTGAAAATAAGCACAGCTACTGCTAGCATCCAACCAATGCCTTCCTTCCTGTCAATAAAACATCACAATGATTTGGAAAACAACAGAGTAGTAAAGAAAAGTGTGACTAGAGAAAAGTCCACAATAATTCTTGTGGTACTTTAAATGCTGGCACAAGATTTCAAAGAACAAAATAGTAAATAGTCCTACCTGCTCTACTGTTACCAGTGCATCAAAAGTGGATAGTGCCTGTAAAGGCATAAGTTGACACAACTTTCCCAAAAGTAATGATATCTCCTTCATACTTCGCCAGCAACACACCAAAACCATCTGAGCTGTAACATCACATGACTGCTGTTCTTCACCTTAAAAGAAAAATACAGTGTGACATTGTACAACCAAGACTTTAATGATCTAAAAACAATTATTCAATCCAAAGTTATTTTTAAAATCCTTTCACAAAATCAAATTTGAGGAAAAGTGTGAATAACAATGGAGAACTAACATCAACCTGGAAGCAATCAGATTAAATCCATTACCAGGATTCGTATGACTACATGTTTCATCATGCCGCAATTCATAGGTTGCTCAGCCTAGGAGTTGAAGGGAACAAATAAACTGACCAGCATGTTGCTTACCACATGCTCAGCATTTCCATGCCTCATTCCTGGACTGTTCCATAGCATGTAAATCTAGAATGCTCATGCTTTGCTGCTAGATTAACTCTAGGCTGTGTAAACTACAAACAACCAAGGAACTCCAGGTTTACACATTGCAACCCACCGCCATTATTTCTTGGTCTGTTAACTGAAATGAGAAATGATAAACACGCTTGTTGCTTTGCTTGTCCCCTGCAATACCTGCAGCCTAAGAACTGCAGCATGACGTGCGAACTGAAACACTCTGTATTTCACCAAGTCATAAAACACATGACTAAATGCACAAGCATCAAGTTCAGTCCTTGGCATCTCCAGTTCAAATGTTCCTAAAGAGGAGGATTGCCCTGCAGTAATGACCAGTTGGAGCAGACAATTACAGGCTAGAATGACCAAATATCTGACTCAAAGAGCTGCATATATTCAACACACAGCAGTTTTACTGGGCTTGTAAAGGCATGAACCCATTGTTATGAAAATTCAAGAACACTCAAAGACCTAGTTCACATGTAGCAACTGTACATTAGTTGTTTAAATTTTGGGCTGCTGAGGCTGCAACCAAGTTGTAATGCTGACTCTTGTACTCCTGCCGCTTAAGTTTTTAACAAACCAGGTTTTAATTTCACATCAAACAATCTGGGACATTCCTTGGTTGTTGAGTGAAGCTAACAGAAATCATAAAGCATACAAGAGGCATTGCACTCACTCCCTTGTTCTCAGTCCATTAATTCGCATTACATATGAACCAGATTTCTCTCTGGGACTGCAGGAAGTTTGAGGAGAGGTGTGGGGAGGGTCCATAATTCAGAGTTAAAACACAGACTTTACTTGCCAAAGTTTGTGGGAAGTCTCCAAGAACTCCAAGTAGGGTTTGAAAAATCGCCTCCCCCAGTGCTTGAGTACTACTGCCCATTGTTGCAACTCAGCCTCTCCCAGTCTCTACATATGTTAGACACCAACTCTCATAAATTCCAGTCAACGGTGCCAATGATCAAACTGGCTAAGAATTGGAGAAGTAGCAGTCCAACATATCTGAAGAGCACCAAGTTGGAGAAGGCTGGTACAGGCAATACTGAGCCAAATAGACGCATTATAATGCTCTGGCTCAATTTAGCATGGTTTCCTATGTTCCAAATTCCAGCCCAGATTTTTGGAATCAGAATGTGTAAACATCCTGAGAAAACGAAGACATAACATGCCAGCTCTACACTATGTCAGTACAGTGAGAATTTATGAAGTTAGGTTCTCACCCACTTTATGGCCAGAGTATTTGTTCACAGGTGGTGGCAGAAAGCTATGAGTGCCTGCTGTTGTGTACGAGAACCCTCAGCTTTTTCTTAACAGATGAACACATTGTCAAGCCTGTGACACCAGCAATTCCCTAGTTTCCCTGCAGCCAGATTCTTCTCCAAAAAGGTGAGCAGCAACATCTGAGTTTATAAAATTGATAGTCTTTGTCACCACTTGCACTTGTTGCTGGATGCAGTTTTTGAATTTCCTTTAACACCTTTTTGCTTTTTTTTCCAGGGAGAGAGTCCAAAAACTGCTATGAGAATAAAAGCCTGTTCTTATGTGTGAATCATGAACACTGGACCAGGGTGACTAAACAATGAGGGAAGCTGAGCGAGCTTTCCCTCTCACCAAATGCATCTGTAAATCCAACATCCCAGAGACCTAGCTTGCCTTGAGTAAACCATCTTGCTCCCCATGGGGAAGGGCAATAGCTCAATGGTAGAATGCATGCTTTGCATGCAGAAGGCCTTGGGCTCAATCATCAGCATCTCCAGGTTGGGCTTGAAAAATTCCTGCTTGCTGGTTCACTGCCTATCAAACATCAACAATAATGGCTTTATACTGACTCAGTATAAAGCAGCTTCCTATATTCTTATGCTTCTCTACAAATGTTGATTGTATTTGCAATGCTGTTTTGTTTTTAAATAAAAGTGGGAATCCCTGTTGTATCAGCAAAATCAGACTTCCCCTTAGAGTGGCACTTGTAGGAAATCATCGCATGCCCTTACATTAACTTTAGGTTGTGTAACCCATGAATATCTTGAAGTGTCCAGGTTAGGAAGTCACACTGGGAACCTTCAAATACTTGCTGCTGCATGTTACTTCTATGTACACTACACAACATGAGTTAATTAGTCATGGACTGATAACATGCAAAAAAGGTGTCTTAACCCCAAATACACAACTGTGTAGTATTAGCCAATGGCTTTTAGAGTTAAAAAAAAATCTGTATTTTAGCCAATATATTCATTACTATTAAAAACTACATGCATGAAGGTGAAATCATAGGATTAAAAGAAAAGGATGCACAATTATCATAAATGAATGCAGACTGTCTTTTAAAATATCTCACATCCCTTGTATTTTACTTGTTTTGAAATGCAGGTTCTAATAAAATATCATTTATATTTGTGTAAAATTCAACTACTCCACCTAGTGGTCTTTTAGCAAACCGCATTTTATTTTTTCCCCAAAAAATATACTTAGAGGAGGTAGCAATGCAGGCCATAAAAAAGTGCAGGTAAAATAGTAATTTTAGTTATTTGAAACAATCATATTATATAAAAATAGGAAATCTGGTAATGCTTTGCCAGAATGTCAGAGAGCACCCATGATAAAGTATTGAAGTAATTTTAATTCAATGTATTATTGCCATGATTGCTTAATTTATATAATTATTACATTACTTTGAATTTAACAAACTTCAAATTATTGATACTTTTATTTCATTCTTATTGTCCAATAGCTGAAGGTCCCTGAACCATTTACAGAAGCATTAGGATACAAATAATTTTAAGAGGCAGAATAATACAATTAAATAGAATATTTTGTTTATTTATTTAACTTGTGCATAGTGGAAGCTCTCAGGGCACTGTATATGAAATACATACCACAGCAAAGTAAGAAAATGCAGAAATCAAGTTTTAATTTGTAGTAACTAATTTATTACAAAAATGTATGATAATTAAGAATTCATATTGTGTGTCCAACCTAAATACATTCTGTGGAAAATATTTTCTAAAGCAATTCAAGCAATTTTAAATCTGCATTAAGCAGATTAAAACTAAATCTAACTTTTTGGATTCAAGATCTTAATTTTTCTTTGTGAAACTGCATTTCAGAAGCCCAATTAATAATTTAACACAATCAAGACCTGCAGCAGAGGTAACTTTAGAGGCAGCCACGAAAGGGAAATGGTCCAACACTCCACTGTCTTTCAATACTCAAACCACCATTCCAAAGGAAAAGGAACAGGCATTCAAGAAGGCAGACAAATTTTTCACCAAGAGTGTGGTCCAGTGCATTTATTTGGTTGCTACCCAGTCAAAATTCTATGCTGATCAGTGAGGTGCATCCAACCGTAGGCCTACTACATTCATCCCTTCTTTGTCTGCAGGTACAGGGCTGATACCCCTGAAGGAATGCCAGTTGCCAATCTCTCTTTACCGGGAAGCAAACAAAACTTACAACAGAAAAACATCTTCAGGCAATTCTGAATGACACAAGATTTTTTGGAGGCTTTCAAATCTTGCCTCCAATTAACATATTTATGGCAAATCACCCCAACTTCCTTCCAGTTAGCTTACCTATGGCAAAATAGCCCAAATCTGCTGGCTGACATTTATGAGATTTGCAGTGCAACATTTCATTAGCACCAGATAGAGGAAGGCTGGTCTAGATGACCAGATCCAGCAGTTTCATGTGGATATTAAATACTATCAAGGTGACACTCCACAAGCCATTAAAAGAAATACCCTAGAAGGGCAACAGATCTGGTAGAATTAGAACCACCATAATGTGGTGCCTTACTCCATTCCAGTCTTGCTGAAAAACCTGAAAAAAGACAGCCTTCTTTACTGCTCAATTCAATGTAGGAATAATTGAGAAGAATACATTGCAGGTGCTTTAAACCAAGGTTAATTACCATGAGACTGGATACTCTTAGGCATGGTATAGTTCAGTAGCTTTAAACTGAACTTACAAATCTTATTTTTAAAATATATTTTTAAGGCATCCAATGTTGCACTTGGGTTCACAAGAGGAAAAAACCCATTTAAAAGCCTTACTGAGTCCTCTATGTTTTTTCAGAGTTTATTATAGTGCTCTGTGTTGGATTTTAATTAAGGAAACAAATTCTGTACTGTTATGTTCAACATGGAGATCAGAGAAATTATGAGTGTGCTACTAAACCCAAAGTGTCCGGAAAGATGTTGGAACAGGAATGACAGAAAATGAAACAGAATACATTTCCTCTCTAAATGAACTGACAGGATTCCAGCAGCAGTAAGGGCCCACAAACTGACCTCTGGCTGTTAGGGCTGTGATAATAGAGTGGGAGGGAACAGATTCTCTTAGTAACTCATATGTCACCAGCTGGGACAAATGCAAAGGCCAGCCCTGCCTTTTATGGATAAAGGTTGTGGAATTTAAAAGATGTTCCCACTTGCTGACATCCTATAACGTCCATCACCACCACAATCCTCCCTCACACACAAAGCCTTCACTCCATTGAAATTACCTCTAATTTCAGTGCAAATGTTTTCAACACCATCATCAGCACAGTCTAGCCTGCAATGCTCTTTCAACATTTTTGCTTCTGAGAAATAATCATTTGTATCACATGGTTGTATCTCACGCAGAATCATCTGCAAGCGCTCTGAAGTGTCTGTGTGCAAAGAGAAGGTTGGCTTTAAAAACACTGTTTCAACAAGAGGCAATTCAGCAAGTATTGATTCAGCACTGAGTCAGCTTCATTTTCATATCATCTAGCAAGACGTCTGATTCTGTCATGCCAGTCACAAATGCTTTGGCCTTAGTTTTCAAGCCATCCAAAAGCTTGCTGCTACCCCACTCGCTTCCTATCTCTCTACTCTTGTACCCCAGTACAGTCTTGTCTATGACTGCCCCTCCTACTCTACTATCTGAGCAACCTGAAGGCTTCCTTTTTTCTTAAATGAACCTGTTCATGCCCTGTCTTATGCCTGGAACTTCCCTCTGCCCAAGCATCTTTCCTGTTCTCCCTTTCAAGCCCAAATGGTGAATCAGCTTTGCACAAGACCTTTAGTGTCCACCTCCATTTGTCAGAGGTGAATAACTTGTTGCCCTCCAGATGTTTTAGCCAGGAACTCCTAACCAGCATAGCCAATAGGGAGGGATCATGGAGGCTCAATCATCTGCAGACCCAGAAGTTGTCCTTCTGTATATGAACTAAGCCTAAATAGACAAATCAGTATTTACCCAAGTTCTTCCCTCATTGTCCCCAACTTTTTTGCCTCTTCGACTCTCTGCTGAAATTTATATTATTAATTATTTCAAGACTGGAACCTACCTTTTTGCTCTGAATGGTGCTACATAATCACTATTACTACTATTATTTGAGTACATCAACAATGTGTACACCATTTTAAAGAGCTGTCAAGCAAGTGATGAAAGAGGCTAATTTCTGCCCTGAGAAGCTTACAAAATGAATGTAGTCAGTAAGGAAGACAGCAGCAAAGAAAAAGGAAGGGTATCAGGAGGCAAGGATGAACAAATGCAATTGCAAACATATTACAGCATTAGACACTTAATATTTCTGAAATTTATGCAGCTCAATTCCTTAAGTTTGAAGCACTAGCAATTAAAACATTTTTCTAAATGAATGTTTAGTGCTCTTCAGCAAAATAGCACATGATGATTGTGGCACTTTCTTCACAGGCAGAAAAACACAGCTTATGTTTTATATGCATATAAGTATCAACCTTTTCACTGGGTATGGTTATGGAAGCTTTAGCATTATCATCATCATCATCATCATCATCATCATCATCTAACATGGTAACTTATCTACTGTGGTTTATGATTGAAGATGTAAAAGCAGGCTGAAGAACTGAAAGATCATTGAAATAAGAGGACTAAAGAGCTGTGTGTAACTTCATCTCTCATTTTGCTCCCCACAAATAATCATACCAGGGACACATTAAATAAATTAAACTGTGTTGGTGTGTCTTAGATCTCTTCTCTGCTGCTGACTTTTATTTTGTTTTCATTCTGCTTTAAAATGTTTTTATATTTACGTTTTATGGTTTTGAATTTTATAGTTTTTAGTCAACCACCCAGACAGCTTCGACTATTGGGTGATATAAAACTGCAGTAAGTAATGAAGTAAAAAAAATCTCCCTCTAACATTTCATGATATGGAAAGGAAAAAAAATACCATGAAATAGAATTGGAAGGAATTTGTCCTCCCACTGACACACCACAGTTCCTCTGGAATTAGAAATAGCATGTCTCCATTTTCCTTCACTTGTGCCTGCTTAAAGTATCCAATTAAAGTCCAGAAGCCTATATGCATTTGCCAACACTCCACAATATTTTAAGTAGGAAAGGAATTGGAAATAATGTGCTGACTATTATTACTGCATTACATTTATATCCCACCTTTCTTGGAAGGCACTCCTAATGGAAGCAATCTTGCCTTTGCCAGTAAGGGTGGCAAAGAAACATCTCACAGCCTCCATCCACTCCCCCTGAAGGGACAGGTTCATAGCTTGGGGGGTGTTCCTTGATTTGTCTTTTGTCACTTGAGGCTTTGGTGGCTTGGAGAGCACTCTACCAACTTTGGCTAAGGGACTAGCTACACTCCTATCTGCACAAGGATATCCTGGCTTCAGTAACCTACACTCTGGTAATCTCTAAACCGGAATATTGCAGTTGACTTTAGGTGGGGCTGCCCCTTGAAGACCGTTCAGAAGCTGCAGCTGGTGCGGAACGTAGCAGTCAGATTGCTAACTGGCACCCAGCATTCTGGTCTGCTTGAATTGGCTGCCTGTATGCTTCTAGTCCCAATTCAAGGTTCTAGTTTTAATCTATAAAGTCTTACATGCTTTAGGACTGCAATACTTATTGGAATGCCTCTCCCAGGAGTTATCTACCCAGACATTTTCTCAACCTCTATTGCCTTCTTCTAAGCACCAAGTCCATAGGAAGTGAAGAGGGTGGCAACAGGGGAGGGCTTTCTCAGTGGTGGCTCCCCATCTATAGAATATGCTTCCCACTGTGGCCCAGTTGGTGCCAAATCTGTCATCTTTTGGGCACTAGGGTAAAACAGTCCTCTTTTCAGAAGCTTTTAAAGACATACTCAGCCAACCAGGGGCTTGAGGTGTCTTGCAAAATCACTTTGTTATTCCTTGCTATTGACTGTTTTTACATATTATCTATTTTTACATGCTTTAAACTTTTTAGTATTTTTCTGATTTCATGATATCTTTACTGTTTTTTATCATCTGCTTTTCTGTACTGTGCAAACTGCCCAGAGAGCTTCAGCTATGGTGCAGTATAGAAACAAAATAAAAATAAACTATTTAGGGCCTATTATGCACTGGCCCTGAGGACATCTCAGACTCATCTGAGGCCCACGGTAACATATTTGCTAGGCACTTCCAGAATAAATTCTCTCGCATCTACCAAGACTTAGACTCTAATGTTATAGCAGTTGAAACAAGTGAGATACCCAAAGCAAAGTCAGGTCCAGCCTTATAGGACAGGCTTCAATAGGTTCAGTTTAATGATACTGACAAGGTGTTAGGACACGTTTGTGCCACTACACCCATATTGGATGCTTGCCTCTCTTGGTTCATAAAAGCTAGCAGAGAGGGATCAGACAGCTAGTCCAGGAAAGTGCTTCATGCCACTCATGGGAGTAGGTCCCATGTTGCCTCAAGGAAGCTGTGGTAAGGCCACTCCTGAAGAAACCCTCTCTGGGTGCAGAAGACCCACGTAAGTTTACTCTGAAGGATGAAACTGCTACAGATATCTTCTAAAACAAAAAATCAACTTCAGCAGTACTTTTAGCAATAAGAAAATAAGCCCCATAAAACTTCTTGACACTTCAGTTATCACAGAGAAAGATTCCAGATTTTTAGAAACGGTGATTTGTTACCCAAATCGGTATCCATTGGAATAAGGCCTTCTGGTGAAGAACTCTGAACTACAGGAGACACTACAGCAGAAAGCTTATAGCACATCAAAATAAGCTTTGCCACCATCTCTTTCCACTCAGGAATCAATGTCATGTTACTGTAAGAAGACAAATTGGGAAATTCAAGGTGACTATGACATTGTTTTTAAAAAAAGAGTGCAGGTCTTCAAAAACACAAACAACAAAAAATAAATTTTAACCTGCATTTATTATTTCTTAACTACTATCTCATCATATAATCCGTATTATATAATCCAGATCTGCTTTTATGTCCTTGTTAATGACATACTGTATTACCTGCTAATGAAGAAAAGATGTGCATAGGAATGGGTGCACTGCTCAAACAGCCTATCATGAAATGGGCAATGCTGAGTAATACCACTGCATGAAAAGCCTGTAATCTTACCATATGGAGAATGAGTGACAGTCACGGTAATTCACTATATTATGTAATGCAGAAATAGCCAGAGGAACAGAACAAGTTCATGAAAATACAAGCAGAGTTGCCTTGAACACCATTTTTGGTAGAAAAGTAAGGAATAATTCAAGTAAATGAACAAATATACCTCAGAGTAAGTAGTTGTTCATGTCTGCCAAAGTCATTCTGTGGCCTGAAATGGAGCCCCAAATGCCACTCCTCATATCACCTGGCCAATATTTTAAAACTTTTGCTGCACTATTTGATCACCAGTTCTTGTCTTCACCTGTCTTACTATACAATACCACCTGAATTCAGTGGCTTCAGCCTGCTGCATGGCACACTCAAAGCTACTGGTTGTAACTGGATTGTGAAAAAAAGACAGAAAGACTGGCTGGTCTCCAAAGGATTTTCTTTGTTAGTTAGCCCAAAAAAATCTTTGCAGCAGCAAAGTTAAATGTGTCTAGCATTTCAAAACTATTAATCTCATCATTGTTAACAAGAATGTTTGGTAAAGTTACTCACCTTAGAGGTAACTGATTCAAAGCTCCATTTATGCAATGTACCCTACCATACATTGGAAATGAAGCAGCAGCCTGCAGTAAAGATTTCTCAGCTTGCAGTATTTCTCCTTTCAGATTTTCCAACAAGTACTTTATAACTGTAAATTAATAGACACGGAGGAAGCAGAGTGATCATTCCTAAAGTCTTGATAGAATGTTAATCTATACAGAATCATGCCCTATGTTAAACAGAGAAGTAAAGAAGAAATCACAGCGGTGTTAACAATTTGGTGGAGAAGTCACTTGAGATAAAGCAGATGTGAAAACAGAAGATGCACAGGGAATGAAAAAGTGATTGAACATGTACACATCTGGAGGCAGCAATGACACATTCCCAATGGGGTCCATGAGCTTTGCTAGGAAATGTGTAATTTGAAGGCAAATTCACTTTTTCTTAGCAAAATATGAAAGTGGCACTTGACATTGAGGACACTGTATTCGGCCAGATAAAATTTGTGGCAAGCAGCACGTATCTTTTTTGTTATCACAGATCCATTATAAATATTTAAAGATAGCATTTCTATGAAAGCTTCATAAGCAAACAGAAGACAATAGTCTAGTAGTACATGGGTAAAAAGAGAACATTTAAAGAAATTGTTAACAGCTGCAGAAAGTCAAATGTGATGATGCCTGAAAGTAAACGAACAAATCTGACCTTCAAGATATGACACTGATACCATCTGCACTGCTAGTATATTGAAATACCATATTAATATAATACCAACCAGCCAAAGTGTGTTCCTCCACTGGATCAGCAGACATATTGTCATCTGAGTGAAATGTGTTCACAAGTAGATTTTCTTTTAGGCAGACCTTTAAAAGGCCTTTCTGGTGTATCAAAAAGTTCAGTAAATAGGAAGCTGTAACACAGTCGTAGGGCTTGGTACTTCTGCTAAGCTGCATTGCTACTTGAAACAATGCCTGAAGTTTTTCAGGATCCTGAAATATGAAGTAAAACATTCATCAACTTTAAATACAAGTTCCTTGATACTGTATTTTTACAATTAAGCAGTAAAATAAATTATCACTATTAGGTTGAAATGAAGAAAAAATCCTGGCAAATAGCTTCCTAAAACAGCTATCAGAAAACAATACAATATATACAAAAATACTGTACAGAAATGTTCAGATATGGGCAGCTGCAAAGGCACACTAAAATGATGAGCAACTGGAAAGTAAAGGACAAATTATGACTGCTGATTGATATTAGCCACTCCAGTTGTTACTCCAGAGGCAAAAAAATTGTATATGGAATGACTGACCTTACTTAGGAAAATGGTTGTTGAACAGATCCCAGCCCATAATATACCAAGTCTACCTCCACCTCCTCATTAACATCAATCTGTGCAAAATTGTCCACAACAGCAATGCTACATTAAAACCATGGTTGGACAGTGATTAACACAGAGAATTTGGAAGCATTTGAGAGTCGTCATGTCTACAGAACAAAAAACGCATTTGCTGTTCTGCAGCAAAATGTTTTGCAGCCTGACCTTCTGTTTGACATCTTTGTAATATTAAAGTATGTGCCATCACAGCAAGACTGTGAAAAGTAGGCACCTGAACTTGGGCCTTATGGGTGTGCACTGCAGGTTATTTTTTAAAAAATACATTAATGTGAATGGCTGAAGCTTGTATTAACACCAGTTATTAAGGGCAAACTCTCTGATCCAGTACGTTGCAATAGATACAGGAGACTTTGCAAGCCACAGGAGACTGGAGAGCCAAGAGACAGAGTAAAACATCACCATAGGGAAAAAGAGTGGGTAGACCCTGCCATAGTGGGACAGAGGGCTACAGCACAACAGAGGCTGTGCCTAAGGTTGCCCACAGACATGGCTTCATTCAGGTGGGCAGGCATAATGTGTCCTAATCCGACAGCTAAAAAAACTTGTCTGAAGATAATCTAATACAAAATTAAAGGCTATTTATTAAAAGCTTTTCTACCCCATCTGCCACTAGTGTCTTGGGACAGCTTACACTAAAAATGAGTAGAATAAAACAAAACATCACAGCATCCGACAACTGAAATACTAAAACCCCAGTAAAAACCAATTAAACATTAAAATGACAGGAAAATAAAAAGGTTTTCACCTGACGCCAAAAAGAATAAAGCTTTGGTGCCAGGCAAGCCTCTGGGGAGAATATTCCATAGTCAGATGCCACCCGGACCCAAGGCTAGCCAAACAACATGCAGCTAAGTTCATGCAATAGTAATTACTATTTGTGATTTTGAAAATAGAGAGGGACAGCATGGATAGGCTGCATTAGTACCTGAAACAAACGTAGGGCAGGATGAAGCTTCATCAGCACATCATATGCCAAGATCTTTACTTCTTCAAAAGTACTGGCCAAGCAATGAAGTAAAGCTTCAATGCGGGTTGACACAACTTCCTGAGATATTTGAAATAATTTTTGGCCCTGTTGCACCCCATCCCAATGGTGTTCTGTTATGGCATTGAAAGAAAACGATCTTATTCTATTTTTTACATTTACAGACATTTAGAACATGATTATACTATGACAGAAAGCAATGTTGGACTGGAACATAAGACATCTGGGTTATAGTCCCCATTCAACTACGGTAAGCCACTAACGTAAAGCTATTTGCCACATGATGAAAAAGTGTTTTCATGGAAGCAGCCATGTGCTCAGAGAAACAGCTGTCCTAAATTAGAGCTGACTATCACTTGACTTTTGGTATTAAGCCACATATTATGCAAATTACACATCTGCCCCTCCCATTGTTAAGAGCACATGAGTTTTTTCTCATTACATTCCAATTTAGCATGCATGATGCCATTAGCTGAAACTGAGACTCTGCTCATGTGCATTTCAAAGTAGAACACACTAAAATACACATATTTGCAACTTCATGTGCTTTTATGCAACCTGTAAGGGTTTCTAACTTCATGGTTAACAATTAACCATTATACCAGGATACAGGTACTAAAAATGTGACAGGTCTACAAAATTGCCTAAGCTTGCATCAAGCCTTGTTTTCTTCCTCTGTATCCATGGTTGCCTAATGGTCCAGGAAAGAGAGGTAATAGCAGGCAACTCAGATGCATCAGCTTTTACCCATTCACATCAAATATGAACATACAAGTCTACTGGAAGGAGGAAAAGTGGTATATGGCACTCAGGTTTTGCAATCTCCAAAAACTGGAGTCCTTTTCCCCTAAAATAAACTACTGTTGTTGCTTTGATCACTCTTTAATTTTTGTTAAGAGAAAGTAAGAAAAAGCATAATACACTGAACTTTATAAGGCAAATCAATGTTTGAGAAAAGCTACTATCTTTGATTAAAATATAAACTGGGAAAGTTTTAAGAAAAACTTTTCCTGTGCTTTTCAAGACACCTTACCTTCTGAAGAAGGAAATATATCAGCTATGATTCCCAAAAGAGTCAGTGCAGTAAATCTGGTTGGATGGGATGAACCAGGAAACAGGGCCTCAAAAAGTATACCACAGAAAGAGGACAAGAAATCCTAAGGACAGGAAAAGCAATCAGAATTTATCACACAAATGGATCAAATAGAAGAGTTTGTTTAGATGGAGGGAGGGATATTTTGACCCATCCAAACAGACAGCTACAATTCAAATGAATTGACTGAATCATATGACATCACATTTTCAGTAATTTGTTTCTCTTGGTGTATGAGATAGTTTCATCTCCCAGTTATGCCTTCTTGATAGCCCAAAGAGTTTGCCGAGCCCTTGCAGGGTGGACAAGCCAAACTGAGGCAGTTTAAATCATGATTTCATAAAGTGATTATAACCCCAGAACTTGCTGCTAGATTATTTAAGAACTGCCCAACAATCTATAGATTAATTCTCTATATTTTAAAGCATATAGTACACATACCTTGTACCGTTCCAGAGTTATTAGTGGATCCCATAGAACAGACTGCTTGACTAGGCCTTGCTTGGACTTTATTTGCTGTGCCTTATGAATGGTCTGAGAGCTTTCATATATCCGGCAGAACAACTTAAAAACACACACACAAAAACCACTCAATTAAAACAGAAAAATGTTATAAAACATATTTCATATTTAAAAGACAGAGGGAGCACAACATAAAGCAAATAAATCTAACATTTTAGTATGAAGGAAAGAGAACCTCAAAGGATTGGATAGAGAGATCACTTTCACATTTTGAGATTACCTTTTTCAGTAAGGAACAGATTTGCTGTCTCACTGCTGGGGACTGGCTGTTCAAGTTGTACCTAATAAAAAACTGTATCAGCTGCATTTCTTCTTCAGATATCATTTCTGTGCTGCGGTGACTTTCACAAAGCAAACCTAAAGCATCTATTCGCACCTTTAAAAACAACAGCAAGCAAGTTTTTAATCAAGTCTGCTATTTCACTGTAATAGTGTAAAACAGTACATGCGCACACTCACACAAATACTTGTACCTGATCATGCTGATGAACTAAACCTTGTTTTATATATCCAGTGGATGCAAGACCACCATGTATTATGTCCATAAACTGCAGATGCCCATGGGCTCTGGCTGTTCTCAGGCATGCCACCAAGGCTCCAAGTGCACCTCTGCTATTGCAAGATCCTATATAAAATATTTTTTACACCTTATTAGCAGTCCTGTCAAACATACCTACTAAAAATCACTTCCTTTTTAGAGTCAAACTCATTATTGTAATTCTTTCATAAACTGTTCATTTCTGTAAGATATAGAAATTACACATATCAAAAAAGCAATACCATGGCACCTAAGCATTAACCAATTTATTTTAGCTTACGTAAACCCAAGCATCCTCAAAATCCACTTCATGTGCCAGGTCAAACAGATCATTGCCTATGAAATCTCACACTAGTTAGCTTTTAAGATGCCAAAGCAGTAAACTGGATCATTTTCTTTTAAAACAAATCAAAAAAACCCAATTGAGGCCCAGTGTGGCATAGTGGTTAAAAGCATGGAACTGGGATTCAGGTGATCTGAGTTCTAGTCTCCCCTCAGCCATGGAATCAACAGGATGACTTTGAGCCAGTCACAGATGCTCAGCTCAACCTACCTCACAGGGTTGCTGTAGGGTTAAGTGTGAGAGCAGAAGAATGTTGTAAACCGCCCAGAGTGTCTTTGGGATATGGGGCGGTATAGAAGTGAAATAAATAAGTACTTAAATCAAGTGACTACATTTCTTACCTGTAAACAAAATGAAATGACTGACAACATCATACATTTAACTTTTTAAAACAGCTGTCTTCTGTTCTATGTGTTCTATTAAGAACATTCATGTGTTACATATTCCAGATTATGTTCTTCATGTCACTAAGTAAAAGCACCTTTCATCTTTTATGCTGCTAACAAGCTTATCACCTATGAGCCTTGATTGCTTAAGAACAACAGTGTTAAAATCTGAACATAACAGTCTCTGCAATATATAAACATAGAACATAAACATAGAAACAGAGTGTCAGAAGGGGTCTCCCAGGCCATCTAGTCTGGCCCCCAGCTCTAGCCAGCTCTGGTCATGACAGGCCTACCATATTGCTAAAAATGTAAGCCATCCAGAGATGACAGTAATGGACGGCATACAAATCTTTAAATAAATAAATCCTGTATATTTCATTCCTCTTCTGAATTCCCTGTAAAACTTTTTAACATAGCAGAAGCATTCAGTTGTTTAAAAAATATCTTATAATAAAAATCCTTCTGTATTAGGAGACAAAATTGGGGGGGAAGTGGGCCAAACTGTGTAAATTTAAGAACTTAAAACTTAAAAAAGAACTTATGTTTTAAAAACTGACATGCATCTACAGCAAAGGACTGTAAGAAGTTTCTTTTATTGCAAGCCTGAGGAGACATCAAAAAGAAATCAGGTATGTTTCCAACCATCAAGGTATATTCTTCTCACTTTATGCTCCAAGTAATTAAGAACCTGGTATTTCCCACACCCTGCTTTACTGGTAATAACTGCGAAAGCAAGTCAAACTGCACCATCACTGAACTTTTTAAATGCAGCCTTAGTTCAAGAAGTTTGCTCTTACCAACATTCGATTCCACAGAAGTTTGAAGGATTTTAATCATGTAGTTCAAACTTTCAGGGCTACATTTCAGCAACTTTGGTAGGTAATAATCTGTTACATAAGTAGCTTGCTCTGGATTCCCATCACACAAAATTAAAAGCAGGGGAGACACCCACGTCTCATGCCAACAGTCAATCCAGGTGTTCCCTTCCAAAATGGTTGTAAGATGCTTCTTGTGGGTCACAAACATTGTTTCCAATAAATCACTGGCATAAGGCGCAAAAGACTGATCACTCATTGCACCCAAGATCTGTGAAGGAATTGTCCTATCTATTGCTAGAATATATTCAATGCCAACACATTCCACAATACAGCCCAGTGAGGAGTATTTGCCCTTAACATGCCATTCTAAACTTAGTAAACTGTTGATTAACTCCAAGAAAAAGGGATCTAGTTTTGTAGTGGATCCTTTCACAGTAGCCTGGTGTATTCGGAGGATATTCTTAAATATCAGTTTGGTTTGGTGCTTAACTGCATCCAGGGGATGTTCCCAATGCGCATACACATAATCCAGCATTTTTCCAATTGTGTCCAAGTTTCCACCGAGACTGAACTTCAGACTTGCCGAATTTGACTGAAGAGCATCCAATGCTGCATTAGTCCATATAGATAAAATTCTTGACAGGGATGCTGCCATTACAGATTCTTTTAGCCTTCAAGAGACAAAGAGTAGCGGGATGGAAGATGATATATTTAAAATTTGACACAATTTTGATCAGATGTTTCACAGGATTACAAATCCGCTATTATGATCACACATACTATTAGCACACTATTCTTAGGCAGTTTAAAGACTAACAAATATTCTCATTTAAATACTATAATCTTACAAAAGTGGCATCTTAGAGTATGTTAATGTGGTAGCTCGCGCTGTGGAGTAAACAGTATGAGGCTGAAGAACAGATACATCTCTGTTCCTTTTCCTCTCATTCGTTTGTTCTCTTCACAAGGAAAATATGTCGCTAATATTGCCAACAAACAGCATGATCATATCCAGGTCTTTTATTCCTTTTCCAGAAGATAAATCCCAGCTGCTGCTTGTCTTGCTACCAACTAGGGTGTTTTAAACATCAGCTAGGGATCTGTTCCTATATTTGCCTATTGTGCCCAAAGCAGAACTTCTGGTGATGCCTGTCACGTAGTATAAGGTAAAGGCTATCTTTAACTCTCACCAATAGGCAACCTGAATAAGGTATCATCTATCCTACTCCATTTTGGAAAAGATGGCCTAGTCAGGTCAGCAGCAGCTGCCTTCATAGCTTCAGGGAAACTGAGTTAACTCTCTGAAAAAGCCAGTGTTGTAGTATCTGAATTTCATTAGAAACATTAAGGCTGGCAAGTTTCCTCATCAAAATACTTCCAACCAAAACTGTGCTGGCTCCAGAATCCTTAATAATGGCTTAGCTTTCATTCAGTTGCCCATTTATTGCTATCCACTCACTTTTGGATTCCACCCTGCTGTTATCAAGGCCAGAAAAGCACATGGCTAACACCTGTGACTACAGGCCACTTCATTTATTTCTGTATTTAAAATATTTATATCCTTTACGTATAATTTATATACAATGTCCTATACATAAAACATCTCAGGAAAGCTTACAAGGACCAAAACAATCAACAGAACAATTAACAATGTGCATGAAGCCAAAAGAAACATATTACCAGTAAGAACAAAGTCAAAATCAAAGTCAAAATCAAAATTAAAAACATGCAACTGTAATTAAACCTCAGGCTCAGGTTGGTTGTTACATGTATATACACAGGTATTACAGGCTGATGTGAACAAGGTGATGCAGCAACGGCAGGAGAGGCATCGTGTAGCATGTTAGTCTAGCACAGCGATACGAAGTATAATAACATTTCTAATTTTTTAACATAAATGTTAATCATCGTGGTTTACTTCTTTCTCCTCTTTTTACTAATTCAAATTATTTTTGGTAGCTTTCTTTCCCGTCAGTTCTCCACTTTCCCAGACAATGACCTGGTCCAGGTGATTAAACAACCCATAGTTTAACCATGGGCTGTCTGTGAGTTGTAAATGGCAGGTGAGCTGACTCTGAGCACTCATTCACTTCCACTTTGTTAAACAACACAGGAATGGATTGGTCACTATGACATTTAAATCCAAAATCTAGATAGTTGAGGAAGAAACAATACAGCATTTTAAGCTACTGTTAGGTTGAAACTGTTATTTCTCCTGCAGCAACTCAGAACTCTCTGGATATGGCATTTCATTTAGCAAAGTGGTGCACAGGAGCAGATGGAAGCTGACACACTTCTTCCTGCCATGCACTGAAACAATCATTGGTTTGTTTACATTTGGCTTCTTGATCATGTAAACTGCATCAACCTTGAGATCTAAGACATAACACTGACTTTGGCTACGAAATGAAGTTTTGCATTCAATTTTTGGTGAAGTTCAAACAGCAAAAGTACATACAGTGCAACCTTATATGTTCCTACTCAGAACTACACCCTATTATATTAAAGGGGACTTATTCAGATTCTTCACAGATTACTGGATATAGGATTGAAGCCAGAGTATGGCACTCTCTTTTCTTACAATGCTCAACCAAAGCCTCCTACCAAAGCATTAGAAGATCCTTCTACTTATGTAGGCTTGCACCAGTCATGTTTGTTTTAGCAAAATATAATTCAGGATGTTTTATTTCCCAAATGTATATTAGAATATTTATGTTCATTTATAATGCAACATGAGCTGCAGAGATCAATGAACCTGAATTCCATCTAAATGAATGAATAAAATTTTAAAATGTAGCTTTACCGTGTACTCAAACTTAACAAAGACGATGCAATATCCAAAAGCAGTTTCTCTGCATTCTGGCCCATGCTTTCATTCTTCCAGTCTAACATAGCAAGTGCTCCATGGCAAAGAAACAGAAGGACTGAATCAGAAATCTCAGCAGTACATAGATTCCCACAGCTGTTTGCAAACCACTCTGGTATGTCAGAACATTTCAGTGAGCCACAAAGCAAGTCACTGATCTGCAAATAGGCAGTATAATATTAGAGACATAGGAGGGAAAAAATTCCACATTCAGAAGACTACAAGAAAATACAATACAGATAAAAGCAAATAGGATTTTAACAAGGTTTATTATTTTTGTCCTGTCAATATTAAGTATGGATGTGATAGCAAGAGAACATATGCCTATGTATTATGGACGTTTCATCCAGAAAGAGTGCCCATTCTCTGTAGCTATCCTGATCAGTGCCAGACTTATAAAACATAGTATTTCTCCGAAACCTTACCTTCAGAATATATGTAAAATCACTCTAAAAAGGAAACCAGTCAAATTTATTACAACATTTTCCAGTACCACTTTCATTTTGTTTAGGATACTCACAGCTGAAAAACCCACCAAACTCTTATCTACCATCAAAACAATGACTGATATGGTAAACATTTGATTTAAGGACTGATAGAACACTGATAGCTTAATCCTGTGGATGTTTAGTAAGTAGTAAGGGGCAATCCTATTTTCAATTGAAACTACTACGTACCAAGGACAACGGCTCTTACTTTTTAGTAAACATGCATAAGTCTTCCCATTCTAAAAAAGTGCCATGGGACTGCAGCCTAAAATTCTTAAGTATGTGGGAAATTATTAATGGTAGTCTGAGTAAAGAGAACTAAGACAAGTTAAGTAAAGTTATTAAGGCTGCAGTCCTCCAAATATTTTCTTGAGAGCAAGCATTAATTTAGGCTCGCTTCTCAATAGACATGCATAAGATTGCACAATACAGTGAACTAGAAATTCCTAAAAATCAGTATTACTTCATGTCTATATCACTCCATACCCAAGGCTCTCTGGGTGGTTTACCACAATCCATAAAAACAAGAAAACAAACACAAGAATATACCATAGCTTCAGCTTTGCAGCAGTGTAGCAGAAGAAGAAGTTTTCCTTACTTTTCTCTAAACCATTAACTTAATAAAGGTAAAGGTAAAAACTTTAAATAAATAAATAAAGGTTTCCCCTTGACATTAAGTCCAGTCATGCCTGACTCTAGGGGGCGGTGCTCATCTCCGTTTCCTAGCCGAGGGAGCCAGCGTTTGTCCACAGACAGTCTCCGTGGCCATGTGGCCGGCATGACTAAACACTGAGTGCACAGAACGCTGTTACCTGCCCACCGAAGTGGTACCTTTCTATCTACTTGCATTTGCATGCTTTCAAACTGCAAGGTTGGAAGGAGCTGGGATGGAACAACAGGAACTCGTCCCATTGTGCAGATTCAAACCGGCAACCTTTCGATCAACCAGCACAGCAGTTTAAACCACTACGCCACCTGCAGTCCCTATTAACTTATTATTACAAATTTAATTTTACAAAGAAACCACACATACCAAACAAGGTAGCTTTTCAACTGGTTCAAACATGGTCTTAATAAAGAGAACAACGGCCAATCCTGCTGTAGTCTGGACAGTCTGTAAGAGGTCTTCTGTATAAATATGATATATATTGGTATTACACATGGCTCTTAAACAGCCTTTTGAGCACAGTTAGGCATTCCTAAATACTATCTTCTTATCGTACCTATCTTCACAAGCATCATTAAAAAACAACAACAGGAAAGAATATAATGCTGCCCATTTCCCACTTCCACTTTGCTTCTGGGTTGTTCAGCCTGATTTGCAAACCCAGGACTCTGGCCTGTTGATGGAAGAATCCAGAGATTTAACCCAAAATGGGTTAAAATTCTGGGGGTTTTTTCTCAGTCAAATCCAGAATGTCAGGTCTAAACAATGCAGCAAACAACCCAGGAATGCCATGTTCTTCATTGAGTCAGCTGCAAAATGGAAACAGCAAGTGGATGAGAGGCAAGCATGCTCGAGTGCAGCCTCAACAACCCATAGATCAGGGTGGTCAGATTTGCTCAATGGAAGAGTCACATACGGTAAATGTCAGGTCTTCGAGAGCAGCAAGCAGCAAGCTGCAAACTCAAAGAACTGTATGTGGCCCCCTGAGCCTCGGTTTGGCCACCCCTGCCATAAATTGTAATTGTGTGCAAACCAGGTCTGTAGCAAGAAACATACTGGGAAGTCCTAGAACATGCAAGATACAATATTTAGGGAAACCATGAAGCAAAAAACTAGGACCTGAATCTAGCACATGCATTTTTTTTAGCACTCTGAAATCATGTTCACAATATGAACCTATTTATTCAATTCGTACACTGCCTTTTGACCAAGAAAATGTCATTAAAAGGGGCTAAACAGGAGGTTTAAAATCAAGCATATATCATTTAGCTTGCTGCATGCATACCCACTATGCCGTAACAGAGGACCAACAACTGAAATATTTTCTGTCAATAACAAATGAGACTAGGAACTACAATCCACTGGGGGATGATGCTTCCTGGACCAGGGAAGAGTTTCTGTGCCAGTTCCTTCTCCCCACTCCCTCCTACACCACCTCATGCTCTTCCAGAGGGTCCTCCAACCATCCCAAACAGATTTTAATGGTGGAATAAGGGGCTGCAGTAAATCTTTGCCACTGCTCCCATGAGTAGACCTCCACTAAAAAAAAAAAACTCTCCACAATAAGCCCAGCTGATATTTTCCCACTATGCCAGTTTGCATCCCATAGTTGAACATTATTTCCCAATGTTTAATCTGGGTTACAGAGAAAGGAGAATCCCCTACTAAACCCTGCAATGCTACAGAATGTAAAAACTGAGCAGGCCATTCCCTCATACTATGGCTCCTTAAAATTATACTGATAGTTACTTAAATATTGACAGTACTTACCATTATTTAAGAATCGTGCAAAACTGTTCAATAGCCCACACATACTGTGCCAAACAGGAGAATCCAATTTCTTCCACAACTGTCCTGGGATGTTCTCCTGAATTTTTTGTACCAACATCATTGAAACTTTAACACCAACCAACAAATCATGCATCAGGCGAGTCTGAGCAATGCAATTTCCACAGAAATGCCTTTTTAAAATAAATAAATAAATAAATAAATAAATAAATAAATAAATAAATAAATAGTTATAACTAGGTTCTTGTAGGAGAATAAAGTATTGCCACAAATTAAGGATTTACACATTTACTGTAAGGCAAGCCTTTGTTCCATAGGCAGGGGCCCATCTACTTCATCAGACACAAGAATCAGTCAGTGAAAATAAAGCACACAAACGTGATGGTGATGGAAAGGCTGTGGGAGAAAATGTGCAATACAACCAATCTAGTATAGTATGAATTAAATAAAGAAGCACATTTCAGTTCAGTTATTTATTACACTGCCAAACAACAAACATTATCTCCAGAATTTTATTAGAGATAGCACTTGACTATGTGCCTGTGAAAATCCACACCAACTTCTGTTTGCGTGATACAACTTTCTTACCTCCACCTGTAGCTCCCAAAAACTAATCCAGAGAGGTTCTCAATCTTTCACAGCAGATTTCTAGGGCAAACAATGGAGAGGGAAACTCATCCCTCTCCTAATTCCACTGAGACAATTGGTAGGAGGAGGTGACTGAATACAACCCTGGTTTGACCTGTCATTTGAACCCTACTATTTCCTTTGAAAGAGACTTCCAAAATGTTTGTGCTGCCATTAGAAAGGCCCTATCTTGCATTCCCACCCACTACATGCAGGTTGAGTGATTAAAGAACAAAAGTTCAGAAAACTGATAAAAAGCAACAAGAGGATAAAAGCCCCACAAATGCTTATGTACACAGATATAATCAAAGGTTTTTATAAACTCAGACCCTATTAAGAATATTTTCTCAATAGATCATAAATGCTATATTTTTAATATAACAAGCTTTTCCAAATTAAAAAGCTTTTGTTTTCATTAAAAGAAGAATGCTAGCTGGTTTTGTAACTGCTATTAACAGTTTAACCTTTAAAAATGCCAAACTTTTATATGAAAAATAATTTGTTCTTGCCTTTATAAAAAGCCACATTTAGAAGATATCTGAACTTAAGTTTTCTTTTGCCAACTTAAGTTTTCTTTAACACTCAATGAAGTAATCATGACATCATTCTATACTTAACCAAATCTATAACAAAATGTAATTATAAACTGTAGGAGCAGATTACTGAACTAAGAGCAAAGGTACAGTAGTATCTTTACATAACAAAAAATAACATCCTCCACACATCTTAGCTTGGGGGATTGCTATATCCTAGTGTGAACTAATATGACCAACTCATAGAGGCACTCAGCCAGTCATTGGCAGATGTTGTAAAGCCCTATTGATCTTCAAGCTCAGAATGGTTAACTTAAATAACCAAGCACAAGGTTTCTTCTTCAGAAAGCACAAATGAAGTCAAGGAACATTATCTACAAGTCAAATTGCTATATCTCATCCCTCTTAGGAAATTCAGTAGTACTCACCTATTTTCTTCCTCTATTTCAAGTATAGATTTATGCAGAAATTGAAGAGCTGTAAAAGTATAGTTAAGAAAGCATATATAAACTATTATTTGTTACAATGAACTGCCTTCACATAAAAAAACAGATGCATAAAATACCAAAACTAAATACAGAAACAGTACTAAAATGAAATGTCTGAACTGTAAAAAACAAAAAAAAAGATAATAGTTTTTGTTAAAGTAGGGGTGGACAACTAATTTCAAAAGCTCTTTCTTACAATCAATTCAGACTTCAAGCTAAGCCATCTGTCTTTTACCCAGTGGGAAAGAAGAGGGAGACAGAAAGGGGGATAACTGAAAGAAAAGAGGACGTAACAGAAAAGAAAAAAGAAAATCAATGTGGAACTCGTCTACTTTTGACTTTGCCTTGCCCACCATGGACATGCAGCCCTTGGTATAATAAAGTCCCCAACCTTGCGATAAAGCTGTACTTCAGTGGAGTGGGCAGTCTCTCTCACATTTTCTACTTCTTTGAAATCTGGCAGGGAATTGGGGAATCTTCCATATCCTAACCCTGAATTCTCCCCAATTCCACAACCTAGCTGAATAGCCTACTAATGAACTAAGTGAAACTAGAGAAAGTATCAAGTATTCTACACAACCTCTACAAAAGGTCTGTTCTTGAACAAAGCTATATTTTACAGCTAGATATTTGAAGGACTTTTAGAACATGTTCAGTTTTTAAGACTCTGCCAGGGAAGAAACAGTTCCAGAAATATAATCTGGCTGCACACAGAGGACTTTTGAAATTAGATAGAGGGCCACATGTTGCCCATTACTGTGCTAATAAACCACAGCTTAGTGTTCCATGAACATAGCCACTGTGTCACTTTCTCATGTAGTCAGTGAAAACTGAAGTCCCCTTTTTAGACCTCCCAATCTAAATGTCTTGAATATTACTGAAAGTAGAAACCATCTATAGACCTACTCAAAGACAGAAAAATACTCTATTTCCCATAATTTCTATGAAGGATCAGACATACAAATATATATATTCTACTATCAGAACATGATAATCAACAAAGAAATACCAAGAATTTACCTTCCTTGAAGAGGATATTCACACATAATTTGCCTGAAAGAATGAAGTATATATTTTAGAGAAAGTATACAGCCTATATCTAAATTATTTTAAAAGGGTGAATGTATTTTAATTTTAAATGTATATGCTACCTGCTAATCCATACAGATTCCCTCTCTAAAGTTGCATACAATAGAATCAGTATTACAAATATTAAAAGCCACAATAAAACCAATTATATATGAAACCCATAACACCATTAAAATTATATTAGGCAAGCAGGACTACAAGATGTCATGAAAGGATAATGGATCTAAATCAAATCAATTTTTAAAATACTCACAAAAGAGAAGCGTCCTTGCCTGGTGCCAAAATGAAAACAAAGTTGGCACCAGGCAGATTTTTTGGGAAGCCTATTCCATAAATTCCAACATTATCATACCTATATTGGTATTTTCTATACAGCAAGCAAGATTATCCATACTCTTCCTATAACGAGACAGGTCTGCAGTTTTTAATTCCTCCTTAAGGCAGACTACAAAACTGTGTGTTGCTTCTGTCATAAGAGGTTCAGGAAAGCTATTTAAAGAGCTGTAAATGAAGAGAAACACTGCCAAATTATCTGAAATATAAATATTAAAAGCATGCAAAATAAAGAAGCATACAATTGGATTATTTGGACATCATAATAGTTCTATGGCTTTAATACATTTAGGCAAATCTTACTACAGAATAAAAACCTATGCCATGTTCTATTCAAATGAAACAAGCTTTTGGATCTTTACATTTCTTCTGACATCTGACTACAGAGGAACAGATTAGATGTTAGCAGAACTGTCATGAAAACTGTCAGTATACCTAAGCCTCAACTGAGAATTTTATTCTAAGCATCAGGGCTTCTCAATCCAAAATTCTGAATGTAGGGAAAGTGCCAATTTTAAAAGTTTGAATTATGCTTGCAGTTTTAAGTTAATTATGTCCAGGTACTCCTACACCATTTTTTCAAATTCTGAACTATACAAAAACAAGTACTTTTTCTTATCACATTAAATTTTTTTTAGTAAAGTTTATACTTTTCTTCTACAGATGGATTAGAAATGAATATAGCTGCTGTGATCTTGCAGACAATGTAGTAGACAATGAACTGAAGCAAACCAAATTTATACTGAATAGTTTGGCAAGTTACCATTCCTAAAGTTGCTGTTGTTTATCTCCAAAATGGACAAATGGCAGTATCACAGGAAAAGTCCCCCTATACCATACAAAGGGGATTTCTATAATTTCAAGCACACATATCTATGCTTATTTTAGTGTTTAAACAAGATTGCTGAAAAAAATTTGGAAGCTCTTCGATGCCAGTTCTTGTGATCAATTAGTGGAATAGACATAAATACATATAAAATTATATAGGTATTGTGCTGCAGTGTATACACTAATTTTTATCTCTATTTATAAAATAAAAGTGCATTCCTTTGCATCTACACATCATAACATTTCACTGAACTTCAGAATGGTTGGTTTAAGAATATTTCATGCACAATAAAATGGTCAATTAAAATGAATATAAACCTAGAACAGCCACAAGCTAAGAGTAAGCATGCAGCCTGGCCAGTAACTTTGCCTTTAAGAAATGCTTGATATATTTAGCAGGTGCAGGACTTTATGACATGGAGGAAGATGATATGCTAAAGGTGTAGTACAAACAGCTTAAAGAGAGCAGGAAAAGAACCCATTCAAACTTTATCAGAACAAAATATTAGCATGCCCAGCCCTAACATCAACCCTAATTGTTAGTGGATCTCTAAGGTCTCAAGCAAAGATTTTTCCTATTACTAGTTTCCTGATCCTTTTAACTAGAGATGAAACCTGAGATCTTCATGTATCCCTTTACAAATATATGAAGTTTGCAATTCCAGATATTGCTATATTAAATTTCAACATGGCAGATATTGACATGTTAAATTTTAATAGTTCGTGCTATATTTTTTGAGTATATGTATGTTCTATTTACTATTTAAATCTATTAATTCTATTTATTATTTAATGCTATTTTGTCTATTTTGGCTTTATTTAATTTTGATAACTTACTTTTGGATTTTATTACTGGTCTTTTGTAGTTGTGAACTGAGAGGTTGTTCATTGTATTGTTTTTATGTTCCGGATTTTAATACAACGTAAGCCACCTAGAGCACCTTTGAATTCAGTGGGATTTATTTCTGAACAGACATGCACAGAATTGCACTTTAGAATGTTTCAACTGACACACATTCTAATTCAATAGTCATATCTGTTTCTCCCACCCACAATCTTATGCAGTTTAGCAAAGCCATATTCAGTCTTAAAATCAGGCCTACAAGTTCTTGTTTGGCCATGGATCAAAGAAAAGCCAGAAACCAATTAATGCCCAGAAATGTTTTTGAGAAGAAATTATGAAGCAACAAAAATGATTGGAGAGTTCCACTCAGAAAAATATTAGCTCACCCAGTGGGATGTGGGGGTTGATTTTGCAAACTATACCTTTTCCCCTAAAAGCTCTGCTGCAGAGTGAGAGGTCCCTCCAAAGCAATGTGGGAGGTGGTGCAGCAAGAAAGGCAGAAATTGCTTCCTCGCTCCCTTCTGTGAGTTGGCCAGTATGACAAGATGGAATATAGCTGTTGAAAACCAACTTCACATCCAAACCAAGTTAATGAATATTTGGAAAACATGATGATACGAGCCGAGATAGCACACAGCTTAAAATAAACTCTCACATCACATCACCTGGTGTGCTTCCATTTAGGATAGTTTTATTACAGTGGCTAACTAAGAAGAATCAGGCTTATGCCAAATAATTGATAACGGCTTCCTTGAAATGTCTTCTGCCATATATTAAGCTGAATTTTTTGAAAATGTGTAGTCATCCCATTAAAAATGGTTGTTATTAATGGCTATGCAACACCTTTATAAAATGCCCAACAGCTTTACATCAATATGCCATGCCATACAAACTTCCTCTCTAGAATCCTGTAGCTCTCGAGCTTTGGACAACTCTTTTAAGAGGCTGGAAAATCACTTAAGAGTGTTCTTCATTCTCAGAAGCAATAGTGATGCAGTAATGCATGTGGAGTACAGACAGTCACCACTCTTAATATGCTTGGGGTTTGTGCCATGTGAGGGTCAAACAACTCTCATAACATATGGTCTGCTTTAGGGTTATTTACCCAATTCACATGATGCGGGAACCCCCAAGTCTGGTGCCACTAACTCAGTTATCGTTTTACACCACTGTGTTCCAGTATTTCTCATTTATTTCTTCAATCTACTCATGTCAATCTTCTTCTAAAGTCCATACTATGAAGTTCAGGCACTTTTTAACTATAACTTAACTATAGTCTTATAGTTAACTATAACTTAACTATAACTTTAACTATAGTCTTATGTTACCTTGCCAACACTTTTTTCAAAGGGTTCTTTATATCCAGAGACAAGAAGATCACTCCCAAAATATCTAAACAGCTTTTAACCATGGGTTCACATAAAGAGGTTGTATCTGTCTTCTCCAGTAAAGATACAATCTATACAAAACAAAGAAAGTTGATTTTGTTTTTAAAAAGATCTCAAATATACAGTTAGAAATTAAATATGTGCAACGATGTTTTAGGTTGATTATATAGCTAATAAAGAAACAATGCAAGCTTGACAATAACAAAAAAAATACAAATGAGACTTTTCACAAAATTTGTAAATGAGGAGGAATTCAGTTTTTCTATTAATTATTTCATCTTGCCATGCCTTCCTTCAAGATATTCCATTCCACTTTTTTTCTCAGCATGTTTTGCCCTACCCTCATCACAGATGCTTAGCATTTGAGAGCCACGAAGTATGCTCAGTCTTCACTGGGCTGTTTGGGACAGGAGGTGGGGTGCCTTAGGCTTTTCATCATGAAGATTTCTTCCAGTTAACCAAACCTTGGCTTCCCTGCAAGCATCCCAGTATGTCTTTCATGTTTCTGAGTAGTCCCATTTGGTTACAGAGCTGTGAGAAGCTACAGAGTTAATTCATATCCACCTGAATTAGCTATATGGATAAAGTTAAAAGATGAAATAATGTCTGCCTGTTGCTGCTTGCTATTCACTAATTCTATATTCATTGTTTCCCAAGAAATCCCTCAAAAATCAAGTTGTACATGAAAACAAGCCTAAAATTCTCATGCACAAAAAAATCCATCTGATTTTAAAATGTATATTCAGACCTTAAACACATGCATAGTGTTAAGTTACAATCTTTTAAACTGTCTTCATTTTGTTTTAAGCAAGTTATAACGTTAAATAAAATAGAAGTAGCAGTGTCATGAGACCATAAGAAATGAACAAATAGAGTCTGGACGTTTTGAGTTGCAAGGAAAAGATAATAATTGAGGATCATAAAAAAATGGAATTGTGCTACAGAAATCTCAGTAGCACATTAAGGATTAGTACATAGCAGGTTTTCAAGCGTACCTGCTTGCCTATTTTTACATGGCTTCAACCTTGTCTAATTTATAAACTCAGCCAGCATTAGCAGAAAAATAGGTGACATTCCATTAACTTATTTCCATGTTACTATTTTTACTAATACTAAAATCAAACCTGTTTGATGCAATGGATTTGCTGGATGCCATCAGTCAGTAGTGCACAGTGCAACAGAACAGAAGCTAGGTTTTGTCCTTCAGTTTCTGCAAAAGCTGTAAATCGAGAAAGAACATAATTCCTTTCTTGCAATATCATCACTCAAATATAAAACTAGTTCTTATACTGTATTATATTCCTCCATAATTTATACTTTAGGCAGATAGTTATACAGATAGGGTGGATTTGTTCCACTGGCTCCTACTAAGGTCTACGAAATACAGAACTTTCTTTAGCACAGAGAGCCAAGGAAAGTATAGATTGAATTCTGAGTAGTTGATATGTGTAAACCCAGTTGCCCTAATAAACCATGGTCCGCTAAGAAGAATAACCTAGAAAGCGAGCCCATGGTTTATCATTTGGTTTGTAAACTTTGGATTGTCAACCTAGAATCATGGGTTGTATATAGGTTGTTTCATCAGGCTGTACACAGTACTTAAAAAAATACCTCCTCTACATGATAGCATTACAGCATTTCAAAGACAGGATACAGAGAGCGAGATGAGTGAAGAACATGAAAACAACACAGGGATTGAGAAAATGAACCACAATTAACTCAATTGTCTGCCAAACAAACTCTGGGTAGGATAACACGGATAACATGGGTTAACCAAACCACAGGTTACTGCTATGTACAAACCAAATCAAAGTGGGATTTTAGTGCCCAACTCAGTCGCTAGGAACAGCTATTAACAATTACACTTGAAACCTGCTTTGAACAGAAGGTTGGATCTAATGGCCTTATTTGCCCCTTCCAATGTTATTATTCCATCACAAAAATAGAATTGCCAGACAGAACCAGCAGTATGGCTCATGTCTTTAACAGGACGAAATAATCTAAAGAGAGGATTTTTGTCCATCATTGTTACTGGAGTGAATGCAGTTGGTAAAATTCTAATTTCTCTATAAGTATTCAAGGCATAGAATATGTATTCTGGATTAGATGTGACAACTGTTAATTAAGAATCAAGTTTTTTTAGGGACCTTCAGAAGATCCAATATAATATTGAAAACTGAAAACCTACAATTTGTGTTCAGAGAGACTTCAGGCAGAGAAGAACTCAAAAGTTCTCTGAATATGTGGAGTTCTAATATAATTTAGCCCAATTCTATCTTAAGTTCCAACTGTGCCACATGCGTTACTACAGCATGCTAAGCAAAATGAGTGTGGCCTTTAGCTTATTTCCACTAAGATAACCTCTTTAATAACTTACTAGAAGTTAGAAGCAAAGATAGCGCACAAACTGTAGGCCAAAAAATGAGGGAAACAAGGTGCTTCCAATGCTGCCTGTATGCTATATAGTTATCCCCTTTCTTCAAGCCAATGAGTTAGACTGAATTCAGTCTTTTCTTTTTTTGCAGGAAGAGCTAGGGTCCAGGTGCAGCTTCCAGCAAGTATCTCCCTGCATACCATCTCTGACAATGATCTGGAGGGCCCCACAATGTTTCAAAGTTAATAGGATCACGGGGATTGTGGAAAGAAGAATGAATCACCAAAATTTACACTCTCTTTTTATTTGGATATCTCTTGATCTGAGCTGCTGGCTATTGTGACAGTAACAAAGGGTGAGCAGATAGCTCCATCCCCTCAAAATAAGAGCAAGGACTGTGGCCCTGTTGAGGCAGCCTGGACTGTCCAAGTGTGCCCTTAAGTTGTAACCACCACTACTTGTGCAGCACACAGAACTAGACTCGATATTTACAAGATGTAATTCTTCAATAGAAAAATGACCCACTTTCTATATAAAAACAGAAAATTTTAAAAGTGTCTCAAGGGCATCCTCAACATTTTTCATGGAAAGTAATATAAACTCAAAAGTTCTGGAAAGTTTCTCTCTAATTTGATCTTCAATGCAGAAATTCTTCTTTCAAAATGGGATGAGAAGAGCACAAAACCACACTATATGAAAAGGGCTGACTTTTCTTTTTAGTTAAAAGGTAGCATCAAGGGAAACTCATTTAAAAAGTCATTATAGCACCACTGAAATATGTCTACCGAGACAAATTAAACAACTTAATTATACTTACACTGAAGTCTTTCAAGCTGTTGGTGATCAAGAACAAAGGCATCAACTTGAATCTCTTTTTTCTTCTTTAAACCCATTTTGGTAGATTAAAGAATTACCTACTTTAAAAAAATTATATGTTGACACTCAGTACCAACATTGTTTTAAATGTACAATTTAAAAGTAACGAATGTTAAATTTCAGTTCACCTTTGTATTCCACAAAACATCTGTTTCAGTTCATTTTTTTATACATGCTACATGAAAAGTTTAGGAAAGATTTTTATCCATAATTCACCTCCATATTGTACAAACTTGATCACAAACCCCAGCACAACACAGAGTGGTAGCAGTCTTACCCCAAGGTTCCTGATGACTTGGATCCAGCACCTTGGGCAGTATCCTATGCACTCTATGTGCTAGCAAGACAAGAAACATGTTCCCTTAGAGAATGGGACAGGTTAGTGAAGCTTGCAGAATGAAGTTGTATTAACCTACTTCATTCTGGAAGTTATTTTTTCCACTAATTTCCAGGGTGGCTTTAGGGGGAATTCTCCAGAACAGATATGGGATGCACCTGGAGGACTTCAGTGGGGAGTAGAAGATGGGGAACTGCTGTTCTACAAGTTGACTTCTACATTATGTTTCATTTATGTTTTATTCACCACCCTATCCCTTTTAGTTTTGAAGTAGTAGTTTATAAGGATAGCCTTATAAACCATAACACCATAAATGAGCACTTAGTGTTCTCCAGTTATGCTCTCCAATTAAACATCAGAGGTACTCTCATAAATCTTTATGTGATCTAAATTTGTAAGGCATTGATAACAACAAAAAACATCCACCTAACAGCATCACAATTCAGAATCAGTGCTTCTAGTATGGAAGCTTTCCACATAATACCGGTAATAAAAAGGCCAAGTCACATTTCATGACGGCAAATCTTGGACTATTTAACTCGTAATTTGCCATGATATATGCTGCACATGAAATATCTCCATGTACTGTTAGAAAAAACTCCAATTAATATAATCAGTAGTTGATAGCATAATGTCCTAACCCAAACCAGCAGGTTTAGTAGTGAAACAACCCGGAAGTTAACCCAACCAAAAAAAGTTAACCTCTGATCCACCTTCACACACCAACAACCTCCAATCATGCAGATCAGAGATTATTTACAGTAGTTAGAAAAGGCTTGTATCCAGCACACATTCCCATGGATCAAATAGCATGATATATTGATGCTAGGCAGAGAGAAACTATCAAAGTGATTATATCTGAAGGACCCTCTAGCTACAGGACCCTACAAATAGAAAGGCAGGATATACATTTGAAAATATATACATGTACAGCCAGTTTCTTGTTCTCAGCAGTAGGTATTCAGAACTGCTGCCTCTGAACATAGAGGCCATATTCATCTGTCATGACGAATAGCCAATAAAAGACACCCTCTATGCATTGCTGAATTCCTCTAATAAAGCTATCTAACCTAGAGACCTTCACCACCACATCTAAATATATGCACTAAAGTCTGTGTGTTTAAAGGTCTCATCTAATCCACAGTAACTACCGTGAATCAGTGTCTGAGCAGTAATGGACTGGTTGAGGGCAAATAAATTGAGGCTCAATCCAGAGCAGATGGAGGTATTGGTGTGTGGATCTTCTGTCCAGGTGGATGATATTCAACCTATCCCAGGAGGGCTGCACTCCTCTCTACAGGTCAAGTTTCATAGTTTGGGGGTGCTCCTAGATCCAGAATTGTCTCTGGAACCCCCAGCAGACATGGTGGCACTGAACACCTTCTAATAAGCTTCCGCTAATCCATCAACTATTTCCTACCCAGACAGGCAGGACCTAGCTACAGTGACCCACACTCTAGTAACCTCTCATTTGGACCATTGTAATGTGCTCTATGTGGGACTCTCCTTGGAAATGGTTCAAAAAAGGGCAGCAACACTGCTAACAGGAGCTAGGGGGCAAGAACACATCACTCCAGTCCTCTACCATCTATATTGGCTTCCAATTGACACCTGAGCCCAATGTAAGGTGTTAATGATAACATTTAAAGCCCTAAACAGTTTGGGAACAAGATATCTGAAGGAACACCTCCTTCCATATAGTCCAATAGGTGCCTTAAGATCATCATGAGGTCCTTCTCTAAAAGCCCCTTCTAAAAGATGTAAGGAGAGTGACTGCAAGAAGAGCCATCTCAGCTATGGCACCCCATTTATGGCACCAACTCCTCAAAGAGGTGTGCCTGGTATTGACTGTTTATTATTTTTGGCACTGGGCAAAACACTTATTTTCCTGATATTTTAATAGCTAAGTTTTATACTGTCCATTATGTTTCATACGGTATTTTATTTTGGATTGCTGGTTGCCCATCACTGAGGATGCTTATTATGGATTATGCATTGAGTTTTGTTGGGGTTGCATTTTAAATGTTGCTCTTGCTTATATGAAATTTTTTCAGTGGAATTAAGGTTTTTTGTAGTTTTAGTTTATTATAAAATGTATTAAAGAGTCTTCATCAAAGGCTGATGAAAGGTATAAAATATTTTAAATAAATAATGGACACCTGTATTTGTAAAAAGGAATGTATAATCAGGGCTGAAGAGACACTTGATTTGAGAAGAACACATCAGGCAGTAAGATACAAAGAGGTGGTGGCAGCAGCTTATGCACATATATGTGCACAAAAAGTCAGTTAATCCAGGGGTCACTTGCAACAGAGACTGCCAGGGCTCCTGCATCAAGTGCTTAAGGCCTCTAGTCTAGCAGGCAACCCCCGAACACCACCTATGGCCACAAGTAATTTCCCAGCAACTGGGAGCATACAACTCCTTCAGGCATAGAAGCCCTGGATAGTCTTACTCTCCATGAATTTATCTAAGCTTCCTTTAAAGCCATTCAAGCGGGTGGCCATCACCACATGCCTTACTTCAACCCCGTGAATTCTTCCACCACTCAGCTTCATCGGGCGACACTGGATTCTCCACTTCTCTAATACCTTGTACCTCTGTCGTGCCTCCACTTACTCGCCTTTCCCCTAAACAGTGCTAGAAGTTGCAATCTTGTCACATTAGGGGATTGAGCACTCTGACACCCACCACGTGGCGCCGAGTCTTCGCGCAACGCCTTCCACGAAGCACCGGAGAGAAGCCTTTGGAGCTTAGTGGGGAAGACAAAGCCCATGTGCTTTAGGATTTCGTCAGGAAGGGACTTAGCACGCCTGTGCTCTTTTTCTTTCTTTTTTTTGGCCATCTTTTACACACAAGAGCACCCCAGTTACCGAATGCTGAGGCGGTCGGCAACACCACAGCCTGGAACACGTCTCTGCCTTCACAGGTGCACCTGAAGCAACCTCCTTTCACCCCACGATTTTACATTCCCCCCGCAGCCCCTCCCCTTGCTTACCCCCCAGATAGGCCCGGCCCGTCTTTCCTTTCCTCTCCTGCTGGCTGTTAGCGCCGCCCCTTTGCCGAGAGGGGGCGGAGCGAACCGGCAACGCGGCGGCCGCCCACCCAGTGGACCACGTCTCCCTCCTGAGGCAAAAGAGAAAAGGCCGCGCCAAGAGCAGAGCAAGCGCTCGAACAGGCTTCCTACGGACGCCTGACGGCTCGGTCGGCCAATCAGAGGAGAGGGAGAGAGAAGCTGCCGTATTACGGGCGTGGAGAACCGGATGAGGGAGGGGTTTCTGGGGAACCGTGTAGTGAGAGGAGGCTGGACGGCCTCGGTTGTTACCCACCTCTGGCTAGAGGTAAAGGGTCCTATTCCGTGCTAGTACTTGCTCAAGAGTAAGTCCTACGGCGCTCAGAGCGATTTCTAGAATGACCTACGCACGTTTACTTGAAAGTGTGAGTTGATTAATCCAAGGAAGGCTGAAGATGGTGGGTTTCTTGTCCATTGTGGTTTTACTCTGAGCTATTCACCATGGCGGTGAATCTATTTCGAGGATGGAGTTCAGTTCCACGATACGCTCCTGTAAAGCTCAGAATAAAAGCTGAAATGGGTTAGGAGCCCCACTGATACTATCACTGCTTACCTGGTGATACCATCTGGCCACATATTTTGACTTTTCTGTTACTTCCTGCATTGTTCTGTGCCAGCTCGCCTGATGAAGATTTACGGAAAGCTCGAAAATTTAATTATTTTAATGGTTCTAATATGTCCAACTGGGTTTTGAGTAATTCTGTAGCTGCAATTCCAGCCACACTTCCTGGGGAATAACTCCATTTGAACTCAGTAGTTACTTCTGAGTAACCATGCACATGTTGGAATTGTCACATATAATTTATCATTTTGAGACCACAGTGGGTTTGAAATGTTACCTTTTAAAAATAACTACTCTTTAGCAATGTAGAAAATAAAACTTTCTGAACTGAAAAGCATATTTTATGTATTGTTGATGTTACACAACAGCTCACTCACAGGCCAAAATATTTTGTTTTGCAACTTCAGAATTTAAGGGTACAACAAAATTAATAACCAAGTAAGGTTTTTTATTACCCACATCACATTCAGTTGATATCAGAAAACTGATCACCTTATCCTGATCTTATTGAATAATTACTTCATAAATGGGATTTAGGTTGCAATCCTATACTTAGTTGAGAATCAGTCCTACTAAATTCAGTAGGAATTTGGGGTAGCGTAGGATTGCACTGCTAACTACTTTATTGTTCAAACCATCCCAAGACGATTTGGCAGTGGATGGTATACAAAAGTTTTAAATAAGTAACAGCACCCTCTTAATCAATCAGACATCCACTCCTATCATGTTCAACAGATCTTACCACATCAAGTATGTGTGGAAAGCAGCCTTACAACAGCATATGCCTAAACTGCATGGTCCTATTTTGATCTGTCACATGATGTTTAATTTAGTATGTGGTGTTTCCAATCACTAGGACAAATTCAGTTTTTATTTTTACAAGTGCTTTCAAGCAAAGTTATTTCCTCAACCTCATCTTCATTATTGTGTCCAACCCATTGTGCCCCATCTTCATTACCTTGTTAGAAACCTTATTTGTATGCTGTAGTTAATGGAATGAGTTCTACTTAGAATTTAAGGATTACAGCTAATGCAAACCATTAGGAAAATGTCTAAAAGTTTTTTACAAGACTTCCATATTTGCCATATTGGAATGTGTCAATAATGAAAACAAGTTCCCTTTAGGAAGTAGGAGGAGAGTAAACATTTTCACTCAAACATTCCTTTGGCATGATTACTATAATAATCTAAAGGTAATTAAATAAATGTTTAAATAATCCAGAGACACTTGAATAAATGCACTATGTTAGAATTTAACAAAAATACAACATGTATATAACATTTTTAGAATTCTTAGAAAGTATAATACAACTCAAAGCAAAAATTGACTCTGTGTTTTTGTGAGATTATTCATTTCATTAAATGTTCGGAATATTTCTAAATATGTGCCTAATTGTGTTAAATGTATTCACTTTTGCAAGGTAGAAACAGCTGCTTCCTTTTAAGAATCAAAACCATGGTTATTCTATTAGATTTGTTTAATGTAATGCAAAGTTTCTCCACTGTGTGGTGCCAAAGCATTAAGAAAAATACATTTTTAATTACTCTGCATACATACAAACAAAACATTTTTAAATATAAAAAGAAAAAAGGTTATAATGTCATAAACGCATTGCATTTCTGCCAAAGACCCTAAAACACTACAAAACTGGCTAGGTTCAATTGCAAGTTAATCTAATTCCACAACAACTAGTCGCAACATTATACGTTTCAGTACGGATAGTAACAACTTAGTACATTATTTTCATTTGAGCTATTCAGTTGATCTATTATCATGAGCCTGGATTGGGGATCTATGGCAATAATATATCTACAGAAAAAAGTCATTCCATTGCTAATCTGTAACTGCCTGTGAGTGCCTTTTTAAAAATCTTTGTACAGGTTAGCATGTACGAACACTAATCTATTTTTTAATGTGGCAAATAGCAATAAATGCTTTATAATTTTGCATTTGAGACAGGTTTTTACCTTCATTTAGCAACAAATGCTCTATAATTTTGCATTTGAGACAGGTTTTTACCTTCATTTATCTAATCTTACCTTCTTTGTTCTGTTCTTATAGCTAGATACATTTATTTATGGAAGATGAATGAACAACTATCCTACCACAAAAAGGCTTCCCTGTTTTCCATAGGCTATAGCCAGTTAAGATACAAGTCAATCAGTATTTCTTTAAATATTTCACAGCAAGAAATTGCATTACACATTATTATTTGATTTATAGTCTGATTTTCTCTTATGACCTCAAAGCACCTTACATAATTCTCCTCCTGCTGCTCTCATTCTTACCCAGAACAACAACCCTGTGAGGTAAGTTGAACTGAGAGTCTGCAACTGGCTCCATGGCTGAGTGGGGACTAGAACCCAAGTTGCCTGAGCCCCAGTCCCATGATCTTAACCACTACACCACTGGCTCATGTTGCATACAGGTGGAATATGACTGGCACCGGCAAAAAAGTAAGTCCTGGTTTTTACAAACAGCAGATGAGGTAAACTGATGGGGAAAAAATGGGGTTGATATGCATCATTGCAGCTGCCTGGATTTTTAGACTCTTCCTCCTTGGAAGTATGCCTGTAGGGACTGTCATGGAGGGTGCCTGCATCTCAAAATTTATCCCTACACAATTTGTGTTTACACACAGTCAGCTGATTTGTGAGAGTTACATCATTATCCTCACTGTAGAGCTTGTGATTACATCCAAACCTGACTTAACAAACCACCTAAAATCCATGGTCTGTTTTAAACAAGGATAATAATATAAATATAGTTTGCATGTGCAGGGTAATTAACAATCCACTGTGGCTTATTAAGCACTCTGCACCTGTGCAGATGAGGTACTGTTTCAGTGCATGTGTAAAGATCAAACTGGAAGAAGTATTTTCAAAGGCTACTAGGGCATGATTGGACATTTCTTCACCACGTGTTGTAAATGATACCTGATGTAATTTCTGCAGCAGAATGGAATCTGTCTCATTCCATCACAACCAAAGTAGCCACTTCACAACAAACTGTAACTCAAAACAGAAATGAATTATAAACATCCAAAAAAGCCTCTATATAGATACTTAAAATGGGCTATTCTACAGGTAATTGCAAGGACTTTGTTCCTGATTTTAAAAGATTCTATATGGCAATATCAGTACATTTTACTCTTGATACAGGAATATTTCTGAAAACTTTCTTTTTGGACATTTCAAGTCAGTCCAGTGAGTGATAATGACATTTTCTACACTTCAGACAATACTATGATCTCAGAGTTATTTCCCTACCTCCTAATTCTATATGACATAAAAGCCAAGCACAGATATATGCATCTGTTTAAATTTAAGTTGCTTGGATACTGCATATGGTATGTAGGTGGAAAAAGTGATTACTATTCAGGGAATAATAGGAGGAATTGAAATAGCAATGGGTTTTCTCTGAAAACAAGAAAAAAAATTCAGTTGACCAGAGGCCAGCAGGGTTACCAGTAGTTCATACAATAATCTCTTTCTATGTATGTCAAAGGATAATAATCACTTTAAAATTAATCACTGTACAGTACAATTTATATAAAAATTAATATTGACAACAATGTATGCATCTAAATCTTTTATTCTGACAGTGAACTACATATATTTCTTAAATCGCAGTTTAAAGCAGGGGTTTCCACCATGAAACCCACCAGGTTTCTGCTTCTGATTGTCATTTTATTTCTTAAGATTTTGTTAATCAAACATTATTATAAAAAGCCAGGAGACTGGCATGCTGCAAAATGAAATGTTGCACTCCAGTGCCCTCTTTATGTAAATTCAAAATACTGGCTTTGTGTTTTAGAGCTCAGACTTCACCTTTTGCTCCTATTAGATTCTTGGGTAAATTTCTTTCTCTTTGGTCCCACTGATTTGCAAAAAGAGCATTTTGCAGTGAGGATTTTGTGACAGACCAGGCCCACCATGTCAGCCATTTTATGAATGGGAAAACTTCCACCCCCTTGGCAGCTATGTTGTGAGTGTACCCACAACATTCTCAGAATTCCAAATGTGCCCACTGTTTCAGAAAGATTAGAAACCCTGATTTAAAGTAAGCCTGCATATGTGTGTGCATGTTCATGTGGCATGCACAATGCTCTTGCTCTTGCTTCTTTCACATTTTAATCAGTTTTTCAAGGAAAATAACTGCAGTTTCATACTCCTAGCATTTATGCATCCATGCTCAGCATTGAACTCCACCATGGATGTTTACTTTTTAGTGAAAACCTGATAATATGCTAAGTATATCCCTCTCTCTGAGCACATTCAATACCCTACCAGATTTATATTCATTAATATTGTTTGGTTAAAATGTAGACGAAATATAGCACAGACTTTTTTTAGTATGATGCTCTCCAGATGTTTTGAACTGTATTGCAACATATGTGGAAGGCTCAGGTTTGAAGAAGGCTAATGTAGGCATTTTTCCATCACAATGTAAAAAAATGCAAGGCTTTTCCCTCCTCTGAATTTACAATTTAGCTGTTTGTTTTTTTAGCTGATTTTTTTATTCCATGCTATTTTGCTTTTTAGCATATTTTTGTAGGTTTGGGTTTAATTTTTTTAACTTTACTGGAAGTTGCAGCTGAAGAGAAGAATAAACATATTTAAATATATTTTGCTTAAATTGATCTACAATTTAAAGGCTTAATTGGCTAAAATGGAGATTTAGTTCCTGTTCCACCTTCCATTTTGCAGTAATAATAGTCAGATGTGACATAAATGGTGGGAGAGAAACACACAATTAAGCTTTATTTGTGAAAAAGTGCCCTAGAAGTTCTTTTGTATTCCCTAGGTCTGCAATGCAAATTTAAAACCCACATTAGCTACAAATGTACACTCAATTTCAAATGGTTATTAATGGTTATTTTTACACCCTATTGGAGCCTCTCACACTATTTATGCCACAAATAAATGCTGTCAATGAGGGGAAGAATGTGAAAGATAATTTGTTCATTGTAGCCAAGGTAGGTTTTACAATTAGATTACAAAAGGTGGCAGTACAAAAATATTTCACTTCTCATGTATCAACACCGTGATTCTTAATAACGACATTCCCATGAGACTGTCCTACAGAATATCTTTATGCATATCATACAGAAAGAGCAGAGAGAGAGATGGTGCTAGAGAGATTCACAGGGTACAACATCATGCTGGTTAATAAGCACTTTAATTGATGGGACAGGAGAAGTCATCAATCCTCCATGCAATGTGTAATTTATGGAATTCACTGCTGCAAGATCTAGTGATTACAAATTGAGATCACTTGAAAAGGAGATAACTGTGACAAACTCATGGAGGATAAATGGTTACTACTACTGAGGCAAGATAATACGCTAATGAATATAAGGTGCTAGGGGACATCAGTGGAGGCTTCTCTGAGGCCTCAGCATGGCCACAGTATAAAGAGAATGATGGATTTGATGGACTTTATGCTTGATCCAGAAGGGATCTCCTGCTGTTACTTCTCATCCTATATAAACATTCTCTTGACTGAGGGCACATTCAGAAACAGGTGGGGATAACCTGAGTATTCTATTTCCCTGAAACATTATGAAGGACAGCTTTAAAAATGTAGGGTTGAGTCAAAGCTATGCAGGAACAATGTTTGTTAATGCTATTTCTCCACCACTACAGCAGTAGTCATGGATGATCAACTTATTTTGACACCTGTGAAGAAAATCCCACATGGCTTTTCCCCTTCCTGCGATATGAATATTGTAGTAATAAACTAGGATGCGACCCAATGCATGTTGACATAGAAGTCCTATAGTTCCATACTGGCTATGAAACACTTGGAGCTGTAGGAACATTTTCTATCTCAACATGCATATGATCATGTCCTTAATTAATCAGCTCTCTTGCTCTTTCATTATAACCAAACTAGCTACCTGAAGTAGGCCATGCTATGTGAGATTTACAAGAGCTGGGTTGGGATGAGGAGGACAGGACATTTTGGAGAGCATTCATTGCTGGAAGTCAGCAATTGCTTGACAGCACACAATGATAATGTGAGATTTTACAGGATCAATTGTTGATTTCAAATTAATCAGTTCTTAATTGCAGATAATGCTTTACCAGACTTGCAACATGTGGAAATCATGAAAGCCAGCATTCTTTCTTTCCTTACCTACTTAGATTTACCCAATTGAGAAAGGAGTTCGGCTAGGCTGTATACTTTTGCCCTGCCTATTTAACTTATATGCAGAGCACACCATGAGAAAGGTGGGGCTAGATGAATCACCAGTTGGAATTAAGATTGCATATAAGAATTAAGATTGCATATCAACAACCTCAGATATGCAGATGATACCACTCTAATGGCAGAAAGTGAAGAGGAACTAAATAACCTCTTGATGCAGGTGAAGGAGGAGAGTGCAAAAGTTGGTTTGAAACTCAACATGAAGAAAACTAAGATCATGGCATCTGGTCCTCTCACTTCCTGGCAAATAGATGGGGAAGAAATGGAGGTAGTGACAGATTTTATTTTCCTGGGCTCCAAGATCACCGCAGATGGGGACTGCAGCCAAGAAATTAAAAGACGGTTGCTCCTGGGGAGGAAAGCTATGGCAAATCTAGACAATATACTAAAAAGCAGAGACATCACCCTGCCGACAAAAGTGTGTATAGTCAAGGCTATGGTTTTCCCAGTTGCAATGAATGGCTGGGAAAGCTTGGACCATTAGGAAAGCTGAGTGCTGAAGAATTGAGGCCTTTGAATTGTGGTGCTGGGGAAGACTCCTGTGAGTCCCCTGGACTGCTAAGCGATCAAACTGGTCAGTCCTAGAGGAGATCAACCCTGACTGCTCTTTAGAAAGTCAGGTACTGAAGATGAAACTCAAATACTTTGGCTACCAAATAGAAGGAAGGACTCCCTGGAGAAGTGTCTAATGCTGGGAACAATAGATGGCAAAAGAAGGGGATGGCAGAGAATCAGGTGGCTAGATGGAGTCACTGAAGCAGTCGGTGTGAGCCTAAGTGGACTCTGGGGGATGGTGGAGGACAAGAAGGCCTGGAGGAATATTGTCCATGGGGTTGCAATGGGTAGAACACGACTTCACAACTAACAACAAGAACAACAACTATCTTTATACCAATCTGTGAGCCCTTCATGTGGGTCCTGAGGTCATTTGAGGTTAGGCAGGCAGCAACTGGAGAATGCTTCTCTAGCAGTGGCACCCTTACTTAAAATACTTTGATCTATTTCCACAATTAAGCAGACTGATCATTTGCTTAGGTGACATTCTACCTCATCACTTGAAGCTGGATTTAATGGCTGCTTTATAATTGGACTGGGTTTTAGTGATGTGATATTCCTGTTCTCTGTAGTTTGGTTTCTTCAATTGCTGCATGTTTCATTCTTTTATTCTGCCTACCTCTTGGGATCTTATTTTAAATGGTGCCTAGGGGAGAAATCCTATAAATGTTCAGACAGAAAAAAGTGCTAAGACTGAGGTGTGAGGAATGCTAGGAGTTATTGGCCTTCTTTCTTCCTAACCATACCTAGAACTGCATTCTAACAATATTATTAAGGGCTCAGACCTGTTTATTCAGGATAAAGGACCGTAAATCCCAGCATTCCCCAGCAAGCTGCCTGCAGTCAGCTTTGTCTGATACACAAAGGACTGGACACTAACTCATTTTAAGGATGCAAACCTGTGCATCTTCACCTGGAAAAAAAGCCTTGCAGTTGCCAGTGCTTTTTTTCCCTCTCTAAACAGGCATAGGACCACGTCCTAAGCATTTCACTACATTCATCTGGTCCTCATGCATAGGACGTTTTGCGCTATGGCACTTCTCAATGGGACGTGGAGGGGTGGACTGTGCTGAATGATAGCCAGAGCCGTTTATATTCAGAATCGTAGGCAGGCCTAATTCTGCACAAGCTCGGGAGAATGCACGTGTTGCGCCTTTAGGTAAGGCTAGCTGCAAAAACCCTTGAAGGGAGGCCCTCGGGGGGTGTCCTCTCAGGGAACTCTGAGCGCTTCTAGCCTCCGAACGAAGGGTTTCTCTCCCGCCCTCCCAGGCTCTCAGCTCTACCCCTGCGAGCCCTTGGCCCGAAGAAACCATCCCCGTTGCAACGAGGCTGGGGAGGACGCCCGAAGTCCCGCCTAAGCGGCTGCTGAATGGCCGGCGTGGCTGCCGCTCTCAGCCCAGGCCCCTCGCCTCCTGCCCCACGGATTGCGGGGATGGTGCCGCGGAAGCCTGGCGAACCGAGGCGGAGGCGGCAGCTGACTCCGTGAGAGGACTGGAGAGCCCGGTGAGAGGAGACCAGGGCCCCGTCGGGGAGGGTCGCCCCTCTCAGGTCTGGCGTAACCTTTTTCGCGCTGCCCTCACTTTTGTGTGTGTTTTCCGTCTTAAGGGAGAGGGACGCGGGAGTTCAGACGGCGGGAGCAGCGGCACCGCCTGCTGGGAGCCGGGGAAGCTAGCGCCGTCCCTCACTCCTCGTGCCTCTTTCCTTCCCTCCTGCTTTCCCCCTTGTCTTGCTTTCCTTGGCCCAGCAGCCTGGCTGGGGACTGGGGCGGGGGCCAGGGAACAAATCCGTAGAAATGCCGAGACTTAATCAAAGATCTCTCCCGTCTGTCGAGGGGGTAAGTGGAAGGGGGGGGGGTCGACTGAAGGGGCTGTAACGTTACTTTCTCCCTACCGATGTCATTCTTCAGCTTGAGCCACAGACAGTTTTTCCACGCCAGGACCTAATCATGGAATATGCAAAGCCACAAGGACAGCACCTTTAAACATGCAGGGTGTCCTCTGCTACTTCTTTTGCTCAGGCATCTAGGTTTTCAAAGAAGGGTTTTTCAGGTCCTCTGGCTCTGTTGGTTTCTGTACACCCCCCCCCACTGCTTGTTTAGACATTATATGGACCCCTTGATGGAAAACAGGATGTGTGCGTTAAAATAGGTTGTGTGCACATCAGGTGGACAAGGGTGTGGGCTTATGTTCTTTCTACCTTGAAAGAAGCCTGCTGTAGAAATGCTGGCTCCTTCATGCAAAAGTGTGAGGGTTAGTTGTACTGAGGCAAAGGCACTCTGTGCGTGCTCATTTCATTATTCTACAGTGCCTCAGTCGGGCCCTGTTACATGGTTTAGGTTCCAAGGCTGGGTCCTGGCTCAAATTCAGGGCTTCACTTCTCCAGATCCCTTGCCTTTATCTGGCACAGTTCACTTGCAGGAGAATTGAGCACATAGAAAGCCCATAACGTTAACCCCTATCCACTCCCAGGATTCTTCTGCTCCTCAGGCTGGCCAGTCTCCCAGAATTCTAAACTCTTCTGAAACTGGGAACATACTCAATGGTCTTTTTTGCCTTGTGATAAGGGAAAATCCTTGAATTGTATGGACGCTTAAAGGAGCCCTGTACAAAGAATGAACTGACATACTTTTCACATCAGGAAAACATCTGGATTGAATCTTTAAGGCTGTGATCCTATGCATACTTATCTGGAAATAAATCCAATGAAACTGAGTAGGATTGTCTTCTGAGTAGAGGTGAACAGGATTGCACTGTTAGGGTTGTATGCATGCACTTATGCAATACTAAGCTACAATACCAGCAACTAGATGTGCTCACAGATGGAAATGTTGCTACTTTCAAATCATGGGTAGAAGATAGTAGCTGACCATGTCAGGTTGGAAACACTGACAGTCCTAGTGGCAATGTCTAGTGTATCTATAGATGGCTGTAGTATTGTATAAACAAAAAAGTTTTGTATAAGCAAAAAGCTTAACTGCTTGATCTGGAGTAACCACAACCTTGCTCTCTTGCATTGATCATTTCCGCATGTATCCAGTATATGAAAGAGAGAGCTCAAGAAAGAGAAGGAACTAATAGAAAGTGCCTTTGCCATCTAAAGTGTCTGGATGGAGTGTGTGGACATACATGATATCCTTGCACTGAGCTAGCAGCATTGTGTTATATCACAAAACAATTGGCTACTGAAGTGACAAATTATATTTTTCTATCTTATGTCCTCATCAGGCTTGCAGGTGTCAAAAGATTGAAACCTTTCTTTCCTATTTTCTCTGCTGAAAACTAAAAATACAATTAGCACTTGATTTTGAAGAAGCATGCTTGCTCTAAATCAAACTTTTACATGCCCTCATTTTAAAAGGGCATGTCTGTTACAAACTGGGGGAAAATGAACTGCTATAATGAAAAGTAACAAAGTTCTTCTATTTAATGTTTGTTTACATTTTGTTGGGAAAGTATTTTGGGCAAAACCCATGACCTCACTGAAGTCATTGGGTGTTTTTCCTGAAATTTAAATAGGAACAAAATTTCACTCTTCTATGTATAAACTTTAGGAGTTACTGATGGCTTAATTCCTGTTTCAAACTGGATATATCTTAAAAGTCCGCATCTTCCCCTTGTCATTCTGTATCTTTCTGACAGATGCCTTATCCATTAGTTATGCAGGCTAGTAGTTGACTATATAGCATTATGTGTTTGAATCTAAAATATGAAAAGGAATCCTTTTATTGAAATAAGCACAAGACAGTTAACACTATCCTAATCTATTCAGGAAAAGATCATTTGATTCTCATGTGTACATTAATATATAGTATACAAATATGCACATAGTATTGAACCAGTATTATCATACTTGTCTGAATTAGGGCTTCCTGCCATAATTATAAACTGCAGTTTGTTAAAATCTTAACACATCAGACTTGCAATCCTAAGCAAACTTAGATACCACTTTGAGTAAACATGCATATCATTGCGCTGTTTAGAGAAGTCTTTACTTTAAAAAAAAAAGTAGCAGCAGCACAGGAGGGAAAATGTGCGTAGGTTCACAATGCTGAATCAGAACACTTAGGCAAGCCAAAGGGATGAACTCATTTATTTTTCCCTTGAGGAATCGAACAAGAGACGGGAAGTCATTGACTCATAAGAAAGATCATTTACTGTGCAATTGTAAACAGCATACATTGTGCCAGCAAATATTTCCATAGTTCTTTGCTTTCTGGAAAATGCAAAACAAATAATTTGCTGGAATTCTAACTAACAAAACCCCCTCACAATAATGGAGGTCAGTGTCAAGCATCCTGTGAGTGAAATCAGAATTTATATCTCAATCCATTTTGAATTTTCTGGAACACTGAAAAATCGACCCTGCATAATTCTGACATATTTACCATTATGTCCACAGAAAAACTGTTTCCACAAACTTCAATTTTGACCTACACTTAGAAGCCCTTAAACCAAAAACACTGGTGACCCTATTTGTTATGAAGCAATTGCTGTGTTTTGGGGTAATCATCCTTAAGTTGCTTTTATTAATTTTTAACAATATAAATAAAATAGTCTAACAAATTGAAAGGAGAGAGTAAAATAGGGACGGATGTACTAAATCCTCCTTATGGGTGCCAATTGATGTGGCTGTCCTTAACCCTCAACACTTGGACCACTGTGGGCATTCATTGGAAGGCAGGAATATAGGAGTCAGGATTGTCATCGCTGTCCGTTCACTCTCCAGAACATTTAGATGGCTATTTCACCCATCTAACCATATTCTGTTTCCTTATGAGGAGGATAGGCACGGCCAGGATTCTCCAGAGGAGAGTGGTGTCTTGTTGCTCCTATCTTCCTCCTAGCTTCAAAGAGGATCTTTGTCTTTGGAGCCCAGTTTCAAGGTCAGAGAAAGGACTCTTTGGTCTCCTAGCCCCAACTTTTTTGGAGTGTTTTTCTGAGTGCTGAGCTGGGACGCTAAGCTGTCCTAACTCCACCCCACACCACCAGAAAATGTGGAGAGGCTATCGGATGGTGGCCTAATTTTTATTAGACATGGTTAGACAGAGTAGTTGTCAAAGCTATGTGAAACCCTGGGAAGTAGAGCTTAAGTTCTAAACTTTATATTAGACATGATTCACTAATGAACGTTTGATTTATTTTCATCCATGTGACCAAAAAGTGTAACACTGAATAATAGCTTTAATGCACAGTCCTTTAAATACCAATTTGGAAGAAAGACCCATTGACCTCAGTTGGACTTACCCTGGTAAATGTTTAGAATACAACCGTATGTCTCTGTTTTTGGTACCTGTCTTCGTATTTACAAATCTCTTATGATTCACTCAACCAGTTTTATTGATGCTATAAAGTACCTTATGTTGTGTCCATTTTTTAAAAAACACAAAATGTTAAGCATATAAACAATATAGTAAATAATTAAAAAATCTTTTAACCAGGAGTTTTTTGTCAAGATTTTGTCAAGATAGGATTCATGATAAATCTGGTCTTTTAAACTGAAGTTAGACTTAGGAAGATGCAATAATAATAAATATAACCGTTTATAATCTAGCTATTATCAAATTATCATTTTACAAAATAACATGTTGGATTTTGTTGGAAACATTTCATACCTTGGGAAGCAGCATAAAGTATTGTTAACTTTTGCTGCTTTGGCTAACAAAAGATCTGTAAAGATATGATTAGCAAACAAAAGTTAAATATTTAGTTTAAGAATTTTAGCTGTCATTGTGTATGACAACAGCTTACTTTTGTACATAATAATGTGGGGCTACATGTTGGAACACTTTATGCTGTGTGCGCATGATACACAGACATAAAAAATGTCTTTACTAAGGGAGTGATCCTATGGCTCCTCCTCCCTAGATAGTATCTGGGAAAGACATAGGATGCCTTGGTTTCTGAGGCTGGAGACAGAGCTCTGATCTCCGAGGTGGGAATATGCATTCTACCCACTATCCCTCTGTTCCAAGATGGTTCTGGAAGAACCACACTGGCTGCCTCTCTGAAGCTGGAAACTGAGAGATAGGGTAAAGAGGAGATATCAGTGGGAAGGGAGGAGACTGTAGAGGTCAGGGTATGATGTATCATGTGTCTTCTCTGTCTCTTCCTCTCTAAATCGCTCCAGCTGTACAGCCAGAAACAGTCATCTAGGAAAAATGCAAAGTAGGAAAGCAAAGGTCACCTTTGCTGTTCTTCACATTCTGCATTGGATAATGGTTAGCTTCCTGAGTTTTGAGGCTGACAATCATCTGGATAGAATTCCTCCCTAAATGTGTTAAAAGTGCTAAATAATGTAATCTTGAACATGCTTACTGTAGCACATGTGCCATTCAACTCAGACAAACTTCCCCTTGAATAAAATTGCTTAATAGATAGCACTGTACAATGTCCAGGAACATCCTAGATATACATATTTTTAAAAGCAGATATGATTAATGCAATATTTATTTTTTAAATCCTTTTCCTCCACAGCATAAATATGGCAGAGTTCTTAGAGCTAGAAGAGGGAATAAACTGGAAAGAAAGATGCATAGCTCTAGAATCTCAACTGATGAAGTTTCGCCTCCAAGCAAGCAAAATTAGAGAGTTGCTTGCTGAAAAGGTAAGTCTTATATAGTCTAAGATAATAATATTTCTTAATTTGTGTAGCACCTACACTCAGCTTAATTATAGGCCCAGTTTACTTAATAGACACCAATTATGTAATTGGGTTGATCTGCCCATAATGCTTTTTAGACTTGTGCTCTGTTTATTATTTTTCTAGGGTAAATTAATATTTCTTTAAATAAGTTACAGTATTGTGCATAGATAGCAGGGTTATGGCCCAGTTCCCCAATCCAGTTCAGGAGATGGATATATACAAACAGGAACCTACATACATTTCAATAACTTGCTCAGGAATTAGTTCATTTTCAGTGCACACTGGAATTTATATCACTCTCTCTCCATGCTGCATTACTTTAGGTCAGATATACATTTGAATGCACATTCACGTGCTGATTATCAAACATGCTTAAAGTTTCAATGCAATTAGAGTTGGATTTGAATGAATGTATTTAATTTGCTGTGCTGATGATGGACTCAATGAAAGGAATTTGCTCTGTGCCTGCATATTTGTACATAGTGGCAATCTTAGGTTAATGCTCTTTTTTTAGTTCAAAGGGAAGACTTTTTAGCTTCCTTGAATGCATCCTTGGGTGTTCCTTTAAAAATACAAAGGGGAGAAATATTCTAAATACATAAATATATCTCTTAAGACAAGAGAGACAGTTGGAGAGAAGAGCGAGAGCCCTAGGATGACTGATGACTCTTCAGCAGCAGTCAAATGTGCACATATGTCTGGCTATTAGAACAGAAAGGAAGTTCCAGGTAACAAACATACCCATTTCCCATCTTCATTCCCATTTTTACTTTGAAGGATGTCTTTTCACCCTGCCTACCTCCCCTTTGAGCCTCTTCAGAATATTCTGAACATGACTTTTAAAAGAGAAACAGCAAAAATATAGTCTATAACCTATAAATCATGTATTATATACCAGACTCTCCCAAAAGATGAGCACCACAGGAGTACATTTCCTGAAAGATACATGACTGCTGTACCATAACTGCTGACCAAGTTAGAAAGCAAACATCATTCTTGCAGTTTTATCTTCTTTTTTTGTGAGTTGTGCTTCTTTGTAATCTTGAGCAATAGAATTTGCAGTACTGTAACTGTGTTTCTTTTGAAGCCAGGAGAGGTTTTAAATAGGTTAGCAGTTAATGAATTATAATTTGTATAGTATTCCCTGTTGTACATATAGGTTTTTTACATAGTCATTTGGACTACAGTGGTGGTCTGTCTCCCTCCAGCAGCTGGAAATACAGAGAAGAATTGGAGTTATAGCATTGGGCACACAAGATCAGTAAAGTGCTGCAAATGTAGTTTCATCTCTCATAAGACCTGAAATATGGTTTGAATCAAGAAAGATTTGATAATAATAGGAACAGAGAAAACTCATGAACATACTTGTCAAAAGTGTTGCCCTCTTCCACTTTTCATACAGGATAAAAATGTGTAAGAAAACTATTGGGAGAATATTTGACATCCATCAAAACTCAAGCTTCCTTTTAAAATGGGGTTTTTGACAGTTACACATATACATGCAGCATAACAACTAATCATGGTACAGCATAATTTTCCCATTATGGCTTATTTTGGGTAAAGCCAGAACAAGCCATGAGTTGTCAGGGTGGCTTGTTGGGGGGAAAACAAGTCACCCTGTGAATGACACTCCACTATAGCTACTAATGCAATGGGATGCCATGATGTCCAAACACAGTCAGTAAATCTGCTTCCTTGACCTCAGTCAAGACAGACAAAATCAGATACAATATTAATTGGTTTCAAAATACTATCTGAAGACAAATGATCACTGAGAGACTTCATGATATTTCAGGACATGCACACATGAGAAATCATTGGTTAAAGTTTGTCAAAAACAGTCACAACTATTAAATACAAGGCACTATTACTTCTATATGTTGTGTTTTTAAATTATCAGTAATTGTTTAGTACATTAATTTCTATATAAATGTAGAAGTGAAGGATGGTATAGAAAAGCTTTTTAAATTAAAAGTTAATTATTTGTTGTTCATGGATATTTTAGCTTTTCCAAAATATTTCTTCGTCTAAGATGCTATATACTGCCTTTCAAAAAGATATTACTAATTTGTATTTCACAATGAAAAAACCTTCATAAAGATTGTAAGTTAACTAACGTCCTCCTTCACTATTAGGAATGGGAATGACACTGTGGTACATGACAGGCAGCTGTGGCTCAAAAAAATTAAGGGTGCTACAAGTCTACCAGTCAAAAAGCATTGCTTAGTAGTTCTGTCTTCTTTTCTATGTAAAAAGGAAAGAAAGACAAATAGTTGGAAAACACAGAAGTGTTCCAAATTGAAGACAAAGATGTTTGAACCCCCTGTTAAATTTCATGTATGAGACAAGGCAATTCAGGATAAAAGCCTTGGCTGGGAACACCCTAAATTGATATCCCAGACTGTTATAAGGAATTCTGAGAAATACTTTCACTTGTCAGATTCAGTTTTGTGTTTCTGTCCAAACTTGGCATACATGGGATGTTTAGCAACATGTCAATGCCACATTTTATGGGAAAGAATGCAAAATGTGGGAGCAGGGAACTGATGAAGGAATATAGACATTCAGTAGTGGAAACTGGATCTTTTTTTCCATTATGTTAAGTCAGAGTGTGTGAAGAAAGAGGGTTTGTTGAAGATGTAAGCAGAAATGACTGTTCCTGCAAGTGGGAGAGGTCTTAATAGGAATTCAAGGAATGGTGTAAAAAGTTGCTGTATGGTAACACACACAGGCTGTCAGTTGAGCTCAAGTGGACTTTATTACTGTTCAGATTTCTGTGTCTGCTGAACATTAAATAAATAAATGGAAACCATCTTCCTCAAGGAAATGTTGGATATTTTTGTGCAAGCTAGAATGCAGATAGCATTTAACAATGGGAAATAGATGGCTTGTCTACACTTCAAACTTGTTTCACAATTCACCTAATATACAAAATACCAAAATGACAGCATTGCCACTTATTTTCCTCTGTCAGGAGCTAGGGCATATGTGACCTTGGTGGAATGACAGGGTTAAACAGTATTTTTAGCATTAGGTAAGGCTGTGACCCAATGGAACAGGTAATATGCCAAATTCCTTATACTTCAGCTCAAGAGAAGTGGCCCATGAGAGAATACAAAAGAAGTCTAGAAGGTGCAATGTGTAAATCTTGGATGGAAGAGACAATTTAACATGTAGCAAGTGCTTGCAGTACAGTAAAGCTATAAAGTTCCAGGAAACACCTGAAACAGAAAAAAAGAACCATTTAGGCACGATTAGTGTGAGGGGCTACAGGATAGTTTGGATTCTCAGATCTGGGGTCTGAGCAAGCTGGGAATTGGAGCTTTGCCTCCAAGAGACAGAATGCCTTATAATTTGCATGGAGAAGCAGGAGAGGGAGGGCCTTCTTGCAAACTGCTCTAAAAGCTGTCTGAGCGAGATGGCCTCAAAGACTCGGTATTAGGCTGATTGTCATCCACCTCTGACTGGATGTAGAAAGTCTGATAGTGTTCAACAGTAAGTCCCATGGAGTTCAGTGGGATATATAGAGTGACCATACACACATTTACTTGAAAGTGTTGTTTGATTAATCCAAGGGAAGTTGAAGACTCCTATGTCAGTGGGGCTCTTTGTCCATCGTAGTTTGATTCTGAGTTGTCCACAGTAGTGAACCTATTTCCAGGATGGAGTTCAGCATCAGGAATATGCTCAAAGCTTGGAATTAAAGCTGAAATGGGTAAGGAACCCCACTGACATAGGAGTATTCATGCTGACTGTTCTTCAAGGAGAGGGGGAAAGGGGAGTGAGGCAGGAGGCAGGGAGGATACTGGAGAGGCTTGGATACATGCTTCTGAAACCACTCCACCCTCCATCACTTCTTCCTGAGGCACCCCATCTAGATAGGCAAAAAAGCCAGTCCAGCCTAGACTACATGCAGAGGTTGAGGATGGGGAGGCACTGATTACCTCTGCCACTCCTCCCACTCTGCATAAGAATGTCTGTAAGCCTCCAGGTTTGAGTATTGATGGGACCTGTGAATGAATTGTGCCTTGAAGTATCTTGACTAGCCACAAGAAGGTTCTGAAGACAACAGCCTCCCAACAGCCAAAAAGTTGTTTGACCTGAATCTACTGTGAACAAACAATTTCTAGTGATATGAGAGGGGAAGAAAAAATTCTCAGTTCTTTTTCCACCTTGTCTATCATTTATAATTTATACCATGTTCCTCTTCATGATTTTTTAAAAGGCCACAAAATGTTTAGCATGCCCTTTTTACAAACTGTGTTCTTTTCTGTACTATTTTCATCTCCATCTGTTTTGACATGGGGCAACTGGAATTATGCCAAATATATGTTCCATGGTGTGTTCCAAATGTGGTGACCAGACCTACAGCAGGGGTGCAAGTCATCAGGCCAGGGGGCCAAATCCAGTCTTCCAGAGACAATCAGATGGTCATTCCCCCTTCCACACCCTCACTCGTTAGTATTTTAACATTTTAATTTTTCTACCTCTTCTTTGTTAGTTGTATGGAGTTTTATATTAAGATCAGGTAGAAACAATGTGCTTCATTATATTGTTCTTCATTGTTTGTGGTTCCATTTAGGTTAAAAAAGGAAAGAAAAAAGCAAGGTCAAAACATAGAAAAGACAATTCCCTACCTCCAAGCAGCTTATAATGTATGTAGGTGCCATCATGAAACTGCATGTTCAACCTCACCCCCTGCCAGAAATTTTCATCATTTTTCTTCAGCTTTTATCTAGCATTCAAGTATTTTTTTTCCAATGGACCCAAGAATTTTGTTATGAAATATGACAGAGGAGCCACTTTTGCTTCTTTAAAATGTTATCTTCTGAGGTTTTAGTATTTGATCAAAAATGGGTTTTTTTTAAGCATATATGTAAAAACAGGAAATTGTGGTGGGCTTAATTTGACATGTCCATCTTTAAAAACAAACAAGATCTGAACTGGTGGAGTGGAAGTGT